ACCCTTTGAGCATAACTCTTTTGAGTTATCCAGACTTTCCTGTTCTTTCTGTCCCTATATACCGTCATCCCAAGAATCTGGTTAACCACCCCCCGATCCTTCATGTCAAACTCCCTAGCTAAACGAGCTTTCAGTGTTGAGATACTTCCTTTATCAGTACCTACAACTAGCATGTCATCAATATATAACAACAAAATGATGAAGTGATCATTATCAAAAAATGTATGGGCACAATGATTTGCTTTGCATTTGCTAAAGCCCAAGCTCACAATGAAGGAATCAAATTGCTTATACTAACACCTTGACGCCTGTTTTAGACCATAAAGTGATTTGGTCAACTGACAAACTATATCATTTTTGTCGTCCTCGACAAAGCCTTCAGGTTAAGTCATATAAATCTCTTCTTCAAGATTACCATGCAAGAATGTAGTTTTAACATTTAACTACTCCAGCTCCAAGTCAAGTACTACAGCCATATTCAATAGAATACGAGTAGTACTTAATCGAACAACAAGAGAAAATATTTCGTTGAAGTTGATACTTGATTTCTGAGCATATCATTTTACAACTAGTCGAGCTTTGTATCTTTCGATATTCCCGCTAGTGTCCTTATTGAGTTTGTACACCCATCTACAACCAATGGCCTTTCGATTCTTAGGTAGTTTGACTAAGTCCCAAGTTTTATTTTTCTTTAGAGCTTCCATTTCTTCCTCCATTGCCATTTGCCAATGATGAGCATTTGGACATTTACATGCTTCCTGGTATGAACAAGGCTCGTGCTCTTCTATAATGCAAGCATATGCTGTTATATAATCCTGAAGCTAGACAAGAGGTCTTGTAGCTATCCTCAATCGACCTTGATCACCGTAAGTCTTTCCTTCAAAATTTTTAACGTGCTCTTCAGGTACATCAACAATTGTATCAATTTGTTGCTCTTGAACCTTTTGAAAAGATTCCACTTCAACTTTCTTTGTTGTCTTAGAGCTTGATTCTTTATGCATTGAATCTTCATTGAAGACAACATCTTGGCTAACAACTATCTTGTGGGCAGTAGGATCCCATAATCTGTATCCATTTGTACCTTCTGCATAGCCAAGAAAAAAACACTTTTTGGACCTTGCCTTTAGCTTGGTCCTCTGCTCCTTAAGAATCCAAACATAAGCATCACAACCAAAGGTACATAGGAAAGAATAATCAATAGGGTTTCCTGACAATATCTCTTTTGGAATTTTGCAATCAAGTGTCGTAGTGAGAGAGCGATTTACTAGGTAACATGCCGTATTAACTACTTCAGCCCAGTTGCACTCAACGTGCTTCTAGCTTGATCCATAAGTGTACGATTCATCCGTTCAACAACTCCGTTTTGTTGTGGAGTTCGAGGAACCGTATACTGTCTTGAAATGCCATGCTCACTACAAAAATCTTCAAATTCTTTCAAGGTATATTTTTTCCCATTGTCGGTTCTCAAACACTTAATTCTTTTCCCCTTTTGATTTTCAACTAGAGCTTTGAACTTCTTAAAATAGGAAAAAGTATCACTCTTCTGTTGGAGCATATATACTCATACTTTCCTGGAGAAATCATCAATAAAAGAGACAAAGTATAACGAACCTCCAAGAGATTCCGTAATAGCTTCCCACATATCAAAGTGTATTAGATCTAATACCTCTCTACTCCTAGCTTTAGACTTGGGAAACTAGCTCTGTGGTGTTTTCCAAATAAACAATCTTTATAGAAATTCAAATCAATAAATTTTAAACCATGAAGTAGATTTTGATCAAGAAGTACCTTAAGTCATTGCTTGTTCATATGACCCAAACGTTTATGCCAAATCATGACGGAATCAGTCATAGCATTTGCAACGATGGCATCGCCGACCATGGTATCCCCAATCAAGTGGTATAGCCTCCCTTGTAATTTGCCTTTTGCAATTACCATAACTCATTTACTGATCTACAATTGACCTTTTTCTCCAGAAAACTTGTAACCATCTTCATCAAACTTTTCCAGTGACAGGAGACTCTTTCACAATTCAGGAACATACTGTACACCAGAGATTGTACGAGTGATGTCGTCACTCGTTCTGCGATGTAAACAGTCCCCAACTCTCACTATTTTGCATGTGCTATTATTGCCCATGTAAACAGTCCCACCATCGCACGATTGGTATGTGTAGAACTAATCTCTGCATAGCGTCATATGGAAAGAAGCACCAGAATCTAATATCCAGTTATGCTTTAAATTTTCACAAGAATCAACAGACAATACCTCACCATCTTCTGATGAATCACTTCCTTCTACGATGTTTCCTTGGGAATTATTTGAAGTCGGATGTTTGTCAGAGTTCGACCGATTTTGCTCTGCTTTGGATTGCCAACAATTTTTTCGAAGGTGCCCCTTCTTACCGCAATTCCAACACTTGAGTCCTTTCTTGTTGCCTCTTGACTTGAATCTCGTTTGATTTTTGGTAGAGTCGTTTCTCTCATTCGATCTACCTCGTACCATCATTGTGTCACCTGAAGAATTATCACCAACTTTTCTATGAGATTCTTTCGTAAGCAACATAGAAATAGTAGATTCTAATGACAGATCTTTAGTATTACTCAAATTCATTATCAAAGTATCCTAAGAGTCTAGCATAGAGCAAAGGAAAAGAACAACCTTTTCTTCGTCATTAATATGTACCTCTAGAGCTGCTAATTTGCTTACTAGAGTGTTGAACTCATTCAAGTGTACTTGCAAAGAGGCTTCGTCCTTCATTCTCAGATTGTAGACTTGTCGTCGGAGAAAGATTTTGTTGGACATCGATTTTCCCTCATAGAGATTCCGCAACTTGTCACATAAACCTTTGACAGTGGTTTCCTCGAACACATTGAATAGAACCGAATCTTCTAAAGCAAAAAGAATATCAACCATGGCTATCTGGTTTTTCTTCTTAAAATCTTCATCTTTCATATTAGCAGGCTTCTTCTCTTTTCCTTCTAAGGCAATTGCACAATCTTCTTTCACCAACACAACATGCATCTTCAGCTTCCAAATTGCATAGTTGGATCCATTGAATTTCGGTGTGTCGAACCGGGTAGAGCTCGAACTCGCCATATTCAACACGTGCAATACCGGAACAACAAATACAAATTTTGGCATAATCCCAAAACAGAACCGTGTGGCTCTGATACCAATTGTTGGAATTGCACAACGAAAATAACGTAATCTGTATGTGCACAGAAACAGACAAAAGCAGATAGAAATAAAGAAAGAAAGAAGAGAAAACACCAGATTTACGTGGTTTTGCCAATTTGCCTATGTTCACGGGTAGCAACTCGGAGCTTCCTTCTTACTATAAACAGGAGAAAATACAAAATGACCTCACGGGAATCACACCCGTACCCGACACTCAATACACCCAACTCAATACTCCTCTCTCAACACACTGTATACACTATACACTGAAATGAAATGGAGAATGGAAATGAGAAATAACATAGGAGGGACCCCTATTTATACTTGAGCTGAGGCGTATAATGGGCATTTATGAAAATTTTATTCATGGCTAAGCGAACCATAACCGGTGGTTTGCAAATGGTGTGTCACCGATTAATTGGTGTGCCACCGAATAAATGGTGGGCTCAGTTCGATGGGACACTGATTACAAATTCAGTGAGCCACCGACTCTCCCACTTTTTTGCTTTTCAACAAAATCTTTAGAATGACAGGTGTCTGAATGTAAATTAGCCACATGTCTGAGTATACAGAGAGCTTTGGCCTGAAATTTTTGGGCCGATTTGCCCACACCCCAAAAAGCATGTTTACCTGTTTTTTCATTTCTGCTAAGTAAGCTCTCAGCAACTGATTTTCAAAATTTGCTGTTTGGTAAGTAATTTTTACCACCGTTTTTCATTTAATAGGTAGACAATATGGTGTATGGTGGTGCACGTTAATCCTGCATCCTATATTTCTGTAATGCCTATCAAACGGCCCAAATTCTTTGTATGATTGTTTTATATTATTTATCAGTAAAAAATAAAATCCAACGATTTAAAATCGTTGTTGAATTGATCCAACACCTCGGCGTGAATAGCAAGAATTTCTCTCGTATGAAGAATCAGTTTTCACAACTTTCATCCACATCCTCATGGTCGTCTTGCTTACTAGAGCCTTATACTTGCTGCTTACGGTCTTACAGCAGCAAAGTTGGGCAAAGAATCGACAACCAAAATGATGGCAAATCACAGATTGACAACAGAAAAAGATTAGAAAGAGGCTGTTTAAACTGAGATCTGCTTCAGAGTGCAAGGGCTGTTTAAACTGAGAAGTGGGAAGAGAAAACAGTGGATCAGAGGATGTGAACTCCAATATATCTTCTTCGTTGCAGCGGAGACCTGGATCAAATCAAGTTGTCACCGAGAGAGAGTCGTCTCATTGGAGAGATGGATACTATTCCAACGGTCTAGATCTCTCTAGAATGATATATGGTGAGAAACTTGTTTGCAGTTTCGCATATATTCGTAACGTCAAATACAGGGAAGTAAACCTTGAAAAGAGATTTTAAAAAAAAAACCTTGAAAAGAGAGGGTTTTAAAGAAATAAAAAATAAAAAAAAATCTTGAAAAGATAGAGAGTGTGATAGCCGTTGGGGTATAAAGCGGCAGAAATGCCATAAAATATATTTGAAATTTATATGATTAAATGACACATGTACCCCTAAACTAATAATTATTTCAGCTTGATTGAATTCGGATCACTCCGAACACAGGTCCAATAACCGGTCCTAACATCACTACATTGTGTAGGGACCAATAAATTTCTGTTGGGGTGGGACATGAGACACTGCATAGGAACCAAATCCGGACTCGGGTGTATTCGTGGTAATCGGGTGGTTAAAGTTTCTTCGCTGGCAGTCGGCAGCTGTTCGCAAGTCGCAACCACGGTTAGCTAACTACGGTTAAGAACAAGATCTTTCTCTCGTCTTCCCTCATCTCTTACCTATAAAAGGTGAAGCGCAATCGTCTGGACTTCACACCGAAGAGCGTCTTGATAAACGCCTCTTTAGGGTTTACTGTCCTCTCACCCTCTCTTTTCTCTCTAACTCTCTATTTTGTATTCATCTGTTTTCTTCTCCCTTCCAGCGAAAATGAGAGAGTGCATCTCGATTCACATTGGTCAGGCCGGTATTCAGGTCGGTAATGCATGCTGGGAACTTTACTGCCTCGAGCATGGCATCCAGGTACGATCTCGTGATTGTTTGGTATTTTTTCGGTTCAGTATGCTGTTCTTTCTTTTTCTGTGTGTAGCTTGTTCTTGATGTATCTGCATTTTCAAATGAGTTCGTTCTTTCTGTTATCCTCGTTCGATGTTTTTTAAGATCTGGAGATTTTCTTTGTCTAATGCTTTCCTTTTAAGCTAAAGGATAGATCCACCTCCAAAAAGACCGATATGCCGTTCTCATTGTGTTTTTAACTTTAGTATTGTTAGATCTCTGATACATTCATCTATATACTTCAGATCTCTGCGGAATTTTGGTTTTTATGTAATTTTTCATTTGATCTTGCTCAGTCCCTGTGAATGTTGTGAATTCTTAGTTAGCTCTATATTTTGCTTTTCACACTGATCTAGATCTAGTTACTTTCCTCAGTAGGAGCATAGATCTGCGGTGGAATGTTGGTATTTCTTTGCCGATCTACGGTTGAGTGTTAGATCTGTTCAAACCTTCTTTACTTCTTTGTTATTGTTTCCCATTACTCGGCCTTTCCCTGTCTCCTAGCAGATCCGTTGTTTTGCCTATTCAATGTTGTGGATTTTCACTTTTTGTGTAGCTTGTGTCGCTGGATCATTTCATTTCCTCTGCCATTGTTTCTCCTTTTCTTTGAAGTTAGGTAGATCGACAGCATTTTATCCTTCTTGCGTGCTCTATCGTAATTATTTACCAAGATTTTTTCTCTGTTCTACTAGTCTTCCAAAGATTACCTTTGTTTTTTCGTGCTCAACTTGCTCTTTGAAGTGAAGTATGTTTAATCGATCTGAGCAGATCTGGATTCCCTTTCATGTTTTCCTTTTTATTTTGTTGGCTTTTTATTTGGATAATTTCTTATGGCCATGCTTTTTATCTATTACCGTGATCATTTTCTTAATTTCTTAATGTGTCCTGCCACAGCCCGACGGTCAAATGCCAGGTGACAAGACCGTTGGTGGGGGAGATGATGCATTCAACACCTTTTTCAGTGAAACTGGTGCTGGAAAGCATGTTCCTCGGGCTGTATTTGTGGATCTCGAGCCCACTGTTATTGATGAAGTGAGGACTGGAACATACCGCCAGCTCTTCCATCCTGAACAACTCATCAGCGGAAAGGAGGATGCTGCAAACAACTTTGCCCGTGGCCATTACACCAGTAAATATATCTCCTCTATTAGTGTCCCATAATTGATTATTCTTATAAGAAATCGATGCTAACATTTAATATGTTGTATTTCAGTTGGCAAAGAGATTGTTGATCTCTGCTTGGATCGAATCAGAAAGCTTGCAGACAATTGCACTGGTCTCCAAGGCTTCCTTGTTTTCAATGCTGTTGGTGGAGGCACTGGATCTGGCCTTGGCTCACTTCTCCTGGAGCGTCTCTCTGTAGACTATGGAAAGAAATCTAAACTCGGTTTTACTGTTTATCCATCACCCCAGGTCTCAACTTCTGTTGTAGAGCCTTACAACAGTGTCCTCTCTACTCACTCCCTACTTGAGCACACTGATGTTGCTGTGCTACTTGACAACGAGGCTATTTATGATATTTGCAGGCGCTCTCTTGACATCGAGCGCCCCACTTACACCAACCTCAACCGCCTTGTCTCTCAGGTAATTGGCCTCTCTCCTTGTAGGTTAGAATATATTCTTCTGTTACGAATAATAATGTTCGGAACTTGGCATAAGACCGTCCTTCAACATGTTTCTGAATGTTTTCATTTGCGATTCAGGTAATTTCATCCCTGACTGCATCCCTGAGGTTTGATGGTGCGTTGAATGTCGATGTGACCGAGTTCCAGACCAACCTAGTCCCCTACCCTAGGATTCATTTCATGCTTTCATCTTATGCACCTGTTATCTCTGCTGAGAAGGCCTACCATGAGCAGCTCTCGGTGGCAGAGATCACCAACAGTGCCTTTGAGCCATCATCTATGATGGCGAAATGTGACCCACGTCATGGAAAATACATGGCTTGCTGTCTGATGTACCGTGGTGATGTTGTTCCCAAGGATGTCAATGCTGCTGTTGCTACCATCAAGACCAAGAGAACCATCCAGTTTGTGGACTGGTGCCCTACTGGATTTAAATGTGGTATCAATTACCAGCCGCCCACTGTTGTTCCCGGGGGCGACTTGGCCAAGGTGCAGAGAGCTGTGTGCATGATCTCCAACTCAACCAGTGTTGCAGAGGTCTTCTCCCGAATTGACCACAAATTTGATCTCATGTATGCTAAGCGTGCCTTTGTTCACTGGTATGTTGGCGAGGGCATGGAAGAGGGAGAGTTCTCTGAAGCTCGTGAGGATCTTGCTGCCCTTGAGAAGGATTATGAAGAAGTTGGTGCTGAATCCGCTGAGGGAGAGGATGGTGATGAAGGAGATGAGTACTGAGTGGGTTTGCTTCCGCTTTTCTGTGTGTTTCAGTCTGCTTGAAGTGTGTTCGTCATTTCTATCAATGCTGTTCTATGAACTGTTTTTTAGCAAAGTTAGATACTGTACTAGTCTGGATTAATATTCTGTTCTGAAAGAATATAATGCTTCTAGTTTTAATGCTTTTTGGTAAGTTTTGCTAGCTATAATGGTTTGGTTCTACGCTTCCTTGGGAAGCCTAATTATTAGGTCTGGCCCCTCTTGATATCCCCAAATTTCAAATTAAAATATGAAACCGGGTTTTTTTTTGTCTCCGGATGACGGATGGTTTACAAAAAAATACGTTTTTAGTCTCCATTTTTGATAAATATTCAAATGGATTCCGTGTGGATCGTTTGGAAGTCTAGATATACTTTAATTAAAGTATTAGACTGTGGAATCAGCTTACAAATATTTAATGGAAGAAATAGAGCCACCCTCATCCTCACCCTACTCCCGACTGGATCTTAATTTGGCAGCTTAAGCTTCCAAGTTTTTTGTGGAAAGACTTCTAACGAAAGAAAATGCACACATCATTTATTTTTCACCTTCCCATTTTCACGGGCTATTTGGTGCCATACCATTTGTAAGAGCTTATCACCTCACCATGAAATCAGTTCGGTTCAGTTTTCATGGTATCAGAGCTCAGGACTCTGAGTATCTGCTGATCTCGTTCCATCAGTGAAACTTGATGGAACGAACTATGGCGTTCACAATTTCCATCAGTTTTGAAAGGGAGGAAGCTGATGGGATATGTTTGTTGGATCTTACCCTCAACCGGACCAATTTCTGGAGCTCACTGCTTATTTCAAACCGAGTGAAATTCCATCTAGTTTCGATTAAGAGGAGCTCATCGCTGTGAGCTCCCATCTCTTCCAAACCTTGTCAAGCTCTTTCCCGCTTTTGGAGTCCCTACACTGGGGCTCACACCCCGATGGTTGGCACGAAGCATCCACAGACCGTGAAGATTTTGCAATAGCATTCCTCACAAACTTCTGAGCAGCAAGAGAAAGCGTCCTAACACTAGGACTTGCACTCCCACCTCTAATCGGCGAAGACAATGGTGGTTTCTGAAACATTTTCGACCTCTCTCTCTCTCTCTCTCAATGTTCGAGCAGCCTCCCTTGACAATGAGTGGGCTTTAACATCTCGTAAAGGTGGATTTGGGTTTCTAAAATGTGGACCATCGTTACTACCCCCGATACCTACCGGTGTTTCCTCGGGTTCCAATCTCAAAGCATCCTTTCAATCTCTCCCCATGTGATGAAAGACGATTCATCAACACCTGGTGCAGGAGAAGGTGTTTTAACAAATCTATATCCACTCTCAGCTTTCTTGCTTGATTCAACATAAAATCGGGGCTAGGAATCCTTCTTAAGTCTTCCAAATCATACTTCTTTGACTTCTCTGCTTCTCTATCTCAGAAGGGTAGGACTGGGGTTGCTCCAGCAACAGGCGTATAAAGTACTTTCGGCTTAGAATCCAACACTTTGCCATGGAAACGGGTATTTGCATGATTAATTTCCTTCGTCAGGCCCTTGATGCTCTCTGCCCTCTCCGTCTCTATCAATGGGGCTTTACCCCCATCTGCTGGGTTATACATTAAGAGGTTCTTTGTAGTATATTCAACCTTCTAATGTACTCAGAGGTTGATCAAATGTCCTATAGCCATCCGTAATTCGATCCTTCTTCTCAGTTTCCAGCGTTTTAAGTTGTTCCTTATCTCCTTTGGTCAAATACCCAAACCTTTCTTTCCTCTTTCAGTTAACCTTATCTATTATCTTCGAGAAACTATCATCGTCTTCACTCGTATAGCGCCGGAAAAATTCATCCAGCGTCAATGAAACATCAACCGAATCATCACTAGATTTCGCCTACGGCGATTGACAAATCTCTCGGCAATTGAGTAGGGGTCTTATCGAATTCAAACGGAGTCGACGTCGAAAAGAAATTCGATCTGGGTGTTCGCAAATTGGTAAGAGGATCTCACCGCCGTGTTCCTCCCGGGAGGAGCTCACCAACGGGAGGAACACGGTAGAGCGAGAAAGAAGAGCTCACCGCCTATGTGGTTTTTTTGCCCTTTTGTTTTTTTTTTTTTTTTGTACGCCATTACAATTTACAAATGTATTGCAGCTTGCAGGCACACCATACTTCTATAATGGCGCTAGAGCTACTTGAAATGACAGACCCATGAAATAAAAAAAAGGGAATCCTCTGGTTAGCGATAGAACTTGTGTTTCCGCTTGCAAACTATACACTACAGTTAAGCCGCTATCTTTCTCTGTGTCTTTGTTCGTTGCCACAATGGTTGCAATTTTTATTAGAGCATCAGAACTCTGTTTGAACTGCGGATTTATAATCTAATGACCTTTTGGTCACGTCTACCTTTCAATTTCTGAAAGTAGTATAAAGGAAGGAGTTCTCCTTTGATTCGTTTAAATTTTCTGGGTTTCTTAGAGAACAACCACCATTTAAATTTGCCTCAGCACTACGGTGGCGCCGGTGGGCTCGTCAATTCCAACTTCAGTTGTTGCTTCAACAACCGGAACTGCAACCAAAAGTTACAGTGCTTCACAACCCTCTGTGGAGAAAATCTAATTTTGTGAAGAAACATTAACAGCTGACAACAGAGGATTTGCAAAAGGAAGCAAGCTTTCAGATTCGAATTTCACCGAAGCAGATGGGCCCTCTTTGACGTTGTACACACTGCACAGGAAAGTTCATCCAATCCGAACACACAAAATTACTCAACAAAGCTTTAATCCAACTTTATGTGTTCAGTCTTGCCATTCGACTTTATCAAGGGAACCAGGATGTAAAAAATAAATTGCAATATAAATAAAAGAGCCCAATTCATTCAAATACCTATAAAATTGTTTTTATGGTTTTATGATTAGTAAAAGAATTAGTTGTAGTTTCTCTGTGTTATCCTTAATTTATGGGTAACTGCACCATGCTGTGTATTCTACCAGCGCCCCAATTTCTGAACAAGGTTGTCCTCAATCTTCATTCTCCTTCTCAGCAAATAAGTGTATCTGGAGTAGAGTTTAGGGTCTCCAGATGCCATTGAAAGCTTGCAATTGAGAGATGTTGTTTCCAACTTCTCTTTGTACATGGATGAGATGGGCACAAAGCAGCTCTTGTTGTTGCAAAGCCAACCATGTGCTGCTCTCAACGCAGCACCCAAGGAAGCAGAATCTGTCAAAAGGGAAATATAAAAATTAAGGTGGCTCCAACACTCGTGAAACAGAAGAAAAGATTTCAAAGGAATAAATGCAACCATGTCATTCTTCACAAGGGTATGTGCATTTTCGTCTATCGAGGCAGGTGGAGTATGAGTAATCTGTGTTTGAACTCACAATTTCATGGTTGTTATCAAGAGCATCATCTAGTTGAGGCTACAGGACGAAGATGATAAACCACCTCAAATAGTTATAATTGGTGGATCATTGAAAATAGGCACTAAACAATGGAGATTTCTCCCATTAAATCTAAGGTATCATATTGCAAGTTCTAAAGGAGCCATCCACAGGGAATAAGGACCATGTTAAAGTCTGGGACTCTTAAATTGCAATGGTGGGAGTCATTTTGAAGCTGACACAAGGTATGATCTGAGTAAGCCTGGTATTTCTAAATTCCTTCTGAGACAACATAATGCAATGATCAATATTGATCAAGTAGGACTCTGATAAAAAAAATATTGATCCAGTAGGACTGACATTTCAAACCTTGGGTATGACTTTGACCCAGGAAATCCCATCAAGGTCTTTGATGTATGGTTCTTTGTACCAGTTAAAGGATAGAGTGGCAAACAATTCAAATAATGTGTTTTAGTGTTAGACCAGGACTGACCTCATTAAAGCAGAAGAAACTTGTCAAAATGCAAATGCAAAATTCTGGCTGATGTAGTTCCGTTTTTGGTGTTTAAGTGAACAATTACAAGGGGTCAATGCAAATATTGACATGGCCAATCATTGATTTGGTCATTCCCTTCTATTAAGGTTGAAATCAGAACATATTGAATTTGTTTGAACCAACGTTTAAAATGTGGAGGCATGACACGAGGCGTTCCACTACCTAGAGGCGTGAGGTGTAGTTTAGAACGTAAGAGGCGTAAGCCTCCTTAAGAGGAGGGCAGTGAGGAGGAAGAAGAGGAAGGGGAGATCTCATTTTTTTTTTAATAAAAATCTTTTATATTAAGAAGTGATGCATAGCATTAGTTAAAAACAAATTGGGCTGCATTAAAAAGGGGGTGGGGGGTTTCGGGAGCGAGCCGAAGGGGCCGGGGGCAGACCACTTTCTTTCATCTTATCTTTTTTTCCCTTCCCTTTCCTTTTCTCTCTTTTTTTTCTTCTCTTTCTTTCTTTTTCTTTCCCTTCCCTTTCTTTTCCTTTCCTTTTTTTTTTTATTTTTTTTGTCTTATTATATGATGTGTGCATGAGGCGTACCCCTCTAGCACACCTCATGAAAAAAGTGCATGAAGTGTACGCCTCAGAGGTGTCAGTGCCTTTGGCATACGCCTCAGGACGTTTTGGGAGAGCCTCGCCTGGAGGCGCGCCTCCAAGCTTATGCCTCCCACGCCTTTAAAACGCTGGCTTAAGTACATTGTAGACAAACGGGAAATGCCACGTTATAATCTTACAGCTGCTTACCTGGCCTTTGGACTGTATAGACATCACAGCCAAAAATGGAAGCTATTGATTTAAGAATGCTCTCATTTGCTGATGCCCCACCAGTTGCTATTATCCGTCTTGGAGGAGATGGCATCCCAAATCTTTCAGAATGAGCTCGCATTGAGAGAAACTGACCTTCAATTACTGCTCGTACCTGAAATTGGATATGAAGAATTAGCCTAAATAAAGGCTCATTCATTGACAATTTGAAGCAGGAAGCAATCCACGATTACCAACCTCTGAAGGAGCATCAAATTCCTCCACCGCATGTTCTTTCAACCCGTCCATTGCATCATCCGTGAAGTTTCCAAGAATAAAACGATGGAAACCAACTAAATGCAGATACAAGATTAGAAATTGTACGGGTTCTTGCAGTTAAAAAAGTAATTGACTACTTAACTCAGGATATCTAGCACATGACTTCCATATCACCCATGATATGCCACACAAGTGGTACATATGGTGGGGGTTGGTTGACATTCCATGAAGTTCAATTCTTCTCTTTTACTTTCTAAAAATAATGTGATGGACTGTCTACCGGTCAAGTCAATTGTTTCCAACTTAATCCCCAATATGAAACTATCATTAAAGTGGATGTGTACCATGTACATCAGAGGTAGTTCACAAAAAAAATTGACATGTGATGTGCATATCTGTGTGTGTGTGTGTGTACAGATAGAGAGACACATACAAACAAATACATGTACAGGTCCATTGTTCACCTGGAAGAGGGGGAAGAATTTCATGCTCCTTGTAGTAGAATCCCAACTTTCCACCTATTACAGCAAATGGCATAACATGCTTAACAACATGTATAAATAACATGTATAGTAGGGGTGGAACCAAATCGAGCTTTAATTGAACAGTTCTGGCTCCAATTCAATTTGGTTCAAAGTTCGATTAGTTTTTTTGAACTAAACAACTTATATAACATATACTGGCTGGATGGGTTGTGCTTTTTTTTGTTGGTTAAACAAGAAGTTAGTGGATGAATATGTTGGTTTGGTTATATGTTTTGGATTTTTGAACTTGGCTTGAAGTGGGTTGCACTTTTAAGTTGGGTTTGTGTCTTTATATATTTTGTTAAAATTGTGAAGTGTTTTTAAGTTAATTTACTGAAATTTATGTTGACTGTAGCTGGTTTAAATTATAACGAGTTATCAACTTAATGCGTACTTGAAGGTGGGGCAGATGTTATACAGGTTTTGTGTTTAATGTTATTGTTATTTTTCTATTCATTTCTAGTGAAAACTACTAGGGAGCTTGATGTTTAGTTTCAGTTCAGTTTATGCAGTTTTTTTTTTTTTGTTTTGTTTTGTTGTGTGTGTGTGTGTGTGTGTGTGTGTGTGTTAGAACAATTGGTATTTTTATTGGTATTCTAGTTTATTTCAAATGTGAAAAAAGCAAGGTCGATATGCCAAATTTAGGTTTGAATCCAAGCTTGTGAGTTCGAACTTGCAAGCTTTATTATTTTTTTTTCGAACTTTCGAGCTAGACTTGAACTTATCAAATATTTACTCAAACCAAACTCAAATAGGAAAATAGAAGTTCAAATCAAACTTCAATTTGAATTCGAATATAGGAGTATTTTAGTCAAGCTGAGCCAAGACATGCTGAAGTTCAGATCAGCTCAGTTCGATTGCACCCTTACTGTAGATGAACTTTACAAAGGAAGACATGCATACCATTAAGAGGAGTTGTTTTCTCCAGGTACTTGTTGAATACCTCCCAAGATTGTTCTGCAAACCGGTTCCTTATGTCTATCACCATAATTGTAGTGGCATCAGGCACTGTCAATAGAGGGATCTAATAATCATTTTGCTGAAATCTTAATTAGAGGAGGGTCATACCTTCACGAGTTAGAGACCCATTCTTGTAGCACAACATTACCATGTAACCTTTTGTATCAACAGGGTTGGGGAAAACATGTCCCTCTAAACTAGGCTGGGGCTCACTGGTTATCCCAAAGACCTGAATGAATAGCATGGGTAGAAAGCTTTACACATCAAAGAATCACCTTGATAAAATTTAGCAGTATTTCCAGAAAGTAAATACCAAGGTTCATCATTATGTAGAATAATATGGCTTGTAAAAAGCAGTTTTACACATGCTGGGTCCACCATTCATTGTGTGGTCTCTTATACCAATATTAACCCATCTAGGAAATTCTTATTAGAATCTATATAACGATATTATATATAGAAAAGGCACAATTTTAGGTATCCTGATTGAAAATTGATGCTTATGGTCAGAAAATTCTAAAAGAAATGTTAAAACACAATTACCAGATAGTATTAGATTGTACACCTTAGCTTACCGTGTCACTGGTGCCAAGACTAATTGCTAGATCCCCAGGAGTGTTAAGGGTCAAACCTGTGAAGTTCAATGTGTGTTATATAGAGTGAGAGCAACATGAAAATGATAGGAAGAAATTAAATAATGAGGTTTCACCTACTGAAACCAAGCTGAGGCCATATATTACTGAAATGTTGCTTGTCAAAAAACAGAGGTAAGTCTCTACCCAAGATAAAGACTATGTTTCTAAAGCAAGTAAAATTCAATTAAGTAAAAAAGAAAGATTACTTGGATATGAAAGCCTGCACAAATTATCATCCTTTTAAAGAAAGAAAAGTGGCAAACAAATTTAAAGGAGCAAGAAAGTGAAAGCTCTAGAGAGAAAAAAAAAAGAGCTGTGTATGATTTTCATCTCTTCTTTTGTATCATGTATTTACAAGCCCAGTATTGGTTTTACACTAACTTTGGAATCAAATGTAAGTCTGACTATTCAGCTCAAAATGGTACATTCGAGGGCATAAGCCTAAAAATGTACCTCAAGGTGAGGGCATGAAGCATAACTGAACATCCTCAGGTGTGACAACAAAGCTTGACATGCTAAATAGGCAAAAATATGGTTTGAGTACTTAAAACCCCTGCTTGGAAGGGTTGGACTTAAGATTATGAACATGTCATGTGGATTTAAGAAGAAACATGAAAATTTGAAAAGGAAATACGATAGGGATCGGTGGTTCAAAGTTGGTAACTGAAAGAAGGAAAAATTGCAAGAAGAAAATTTCCATCTCAGATATTTCCATGATGGAGCTCAAAAGGCGCCTAAAACATTCTATTTCTCTTTTTTAAATTGCAAGTGTTGTTTTCTCTTTCTACAGGCGACCTCTATATCAGTTGATACTTGACTTGCCTAAAAACATTCCACAGTACCATGAAACTGCAGCCACCTATAATCTGTCAACCTGTTATCACCCCACCCACTTATATCATTCTTCAGACCCCTTACAAATTTAGTGTACCTTTCAAAAACTTATTAAGAATAGCCTATTACTGCTTATTCAATGACTGAACCATAGGTTAACAGTTAACTCCAAATTGTCTGCCTATCATATTTTCTCTAACTATTCATCCTAATAAGCTCCAAATCAGTTGGTCTTGGGAAATCATAATGGCATCCTGATATTGTAGGAGTAATGGCTATTTCCTCTGACATATTCAGGGTCTGGGATTAATGAAATCTTACAAAAAATGGGATTAAATGATAGCATATTTTACCTGTGATATTTTTCAACAGCAACTGATTAAACTTCATTCATGAGATACATCAATCTTATGAATCTATTAAGCTAAACTATAATTATATATATATTTTTTATATTTCCATTACTGTTTATTTTAACTTAATATACAAAATCCACTGCATTTAAGGTTAACAAATAAAACAAAGAGAAAATATGTGATGAGGGCTAAGTAGTTTTAAATGGATACTTGCACTTCTTTATGGTATGTTTAGTTTAATTTTAAATATGTGTTAAAGGAGTGTCTTCTGTTTGTGTGTTTGAGATATTGAAGACTATGTCTTCCTCCCACCTTCATACCTTCACATCATACTTGAACTGGAGCCGATTATATATTGAGATGGTGTTGTAATGTGTCTGTCTATCATTAGTCATACGAATTGTGCATGCAAAAAGTTGGAATAATATAAAAATGCCTTCTTTATTTTGCTCTCTCTTTTTCCTGTTCTATTATTACATCAGTAGAACTTTGTTTGTTGTAAATTGATAGTTTCTTATAGCTAGATCTACCAAAAAGAATTTTACTTTGTATAACATAAACATGATGCAGCTTGCAATTTTCTTCTCTACCTTTAACCACGTACAAAAGAAGTCAGGACTTGCAAATGCATCACTAGCAGTTTGGCATTCTCATTCATTCATTAAATGGTGTTTAAGTTATAGGAGTCTTAAATACCTACTATTTCTTAGGGAGGTGCTGTTTCTTCTCCCTTTTTGCTTGCGCCACTCTTTAATTTTAGGATGACACCAAAATTCAGATCACATCCCCTTTGCACTCTTTCCATTAATACCAAAATTATCCAACTTTATGTACCACTCAAGAATTTTGGTTCCTCCAGCATTTACAGTGGTTATGCCTTATATTATAGTTCAGAAATGATGAGGAATTACTCATCCAGTTGCTAATGATTGGCACAGTAAACTCTCAAGACAAGAGTACAGTGGACACTTCTAATGTTAACTTTAGCCAATAGTTTCTCAATTGTACCATGAATTAATAGAGCATGGTGAACTACTGAAGTTGATACCAATCTGACCATAGCAGTAGCCACTGAGGGAGGGATAAATGTTGCGGGTGCATTCATTGGGAAGAAATACCGCCACAGGCAGCAGCAACAGCAGTAACGAGGTGTCCACACAGGAGTCCACGTAGGATTAGGCCGCAGCTTACTTCATCTTATCTTTCACAGTAATCTTATTTGTTTTTCTCATTTATCTTGCTGGAATCGTATTTCTCTAACAGGGAAAGGAACTCCGAGGGAACCGCCACCACCAACAGCCGCCGACCAGACTGGGCAGAGACGTCCGGCGAACAACAGACCGCTGCCCCAGCAGCCACGGTTGTTCCCAAGTATAGCCGGCTAGAATTTCCGTCTTACAACGGCACCGGAGATCCGCTGGGATGGTTATATCGCTGCGAACAGTTCTTTCGCAACCAGCGCACAGATGACAGAGACAAGGTTGGTCTGGCCGCTTTCCACCTAACGGAGGAGGAAGAACCCGGGCTTAGTTGGGGACAGTTTAAATCTTACTGCCTCCTCAGGTTTGGACCCCCGTTGACGAGCAACCCGCTGGGCGAATTAATTAACCTCAAGCAAACTGGAACCGTGGCTGAATACCAGCGACAGTTCCAAACCCTTCTCGCCAGGGCAGCCTCGGTACGACCAGATCAGCAAGTAGATATGTTCACCGCGGGGTTAGCGAAACCCCCAAGGGTGGACATGGAGATGCAACACCCTCCAACCTGGTCACAGCCATGAACCTAGCACGCGCCTTCGAGCGCAAACTGCAACTCACCCGTGGGACCTTCAGTGTAGGTCGGCCAACGACGACCTGGGCACCTTCGAAGACAACTGGAGTGTCCCTTTCTTCGGCAACCAGCAGGGAACAGAGGCCACCTACCGGTAACACTTCCAGGACGACATCAAGCATGGGGAGCAGCATGACAGCACCACCCATTAGACGGTTGTCCGAGCTGAGATGGCCAAGCGTCGCGCAAGGGGGCAGTGCTTTAACTGCGATGATCTGTATTCCGCCGGGCACAGATGCAAGAGGCTATTCTGTCTTCTGGTAGACGAACAGGAAGAGGACGAGGATGAACCCGCAACATCAGAACCCGAGATCTCCCTTCACGCAATCACAGGGATAAAAACCTCACAGACCATGCAACTGAGGGCACAGGTAGCAGGAAAACCAGTACGCATCCTCGTTGACTCAGGAAGCACGCACAACTTTGTCAGTGAGCAGGCAGCTCGCTAGTTAGAGTTACCTATGGAAATCAGGCCACAACTACAGGTAGCCATGGCAAACGGGGAAAGAGTTCACAGCCCCGAAATCTGCAAGAACACCAAAATTCAGGTCGAATCGGAATCCTTCTTTGCTGATCTATTTGTGCTATCCTTAGATGAGTTCGACATCGTCCTAGGAGTCAAGTGGCTGATCACTGTAGGGTCAATCTTATGGGATTTCAGCGCCCTAACAATGACATTCCACCTGAATGGAAAACCAGTTACCTGGTAGGGAACCAGGATAAGGGCAAAAACGCAGTTGCATACACTTTAGGGCGAAAATATGCGCACAACAGATATGGAGAGGCTCCTCACGGATTTCTCTGCTGTATTCCAAGAACCCAAGGGGCTTCCACCCTCCAGAGCTTGCGATCATCGGATCCCTCTGATAGCCGGATCGGATCCCGTCGTCGTCTGGCCCTATCGCTACCCACACCCACAGAAGGATGAAATAGAAAGGCAGTGTACGGATGTGATGCAACAGGGAATCATTCGTCCTATCTACTCCCCCTTCTCCTCGCCGGTTCTGTTGGTACCTAAGCAAGATGGGACTTGGAGATTTTGTGTGGATTACAGAGAGCTTAACAACCAGACAGTCAAGGATAAATTTCCTATCCTCGTCGTAGATGAGCTATTGGACGAACTCCATGGAGCCCAATACTTCTCAAAATTAGACCTCTGGCCGGGTTACTTTCAGGTCTGGATGACTTCCGAAGACGTGGAGAAAACGGCCTTTAGAACACATCTTGGTCATTTTGAATTCCTAGTCATGCCATTCGGCCTCACCAACGCTCCTTCCATGTTCCAGTCTCTGATGAACGAGGTATTTCAATCCCACCTCCGCAGATTTGTCTTAGTATTTTTTGATGACATCCTAGTTTGCAGCAAGTCGTGGGTAGAACATGTACAACATCTGCGGACCGTTTTTGAACTCCTGCGCCAGCACAAACTCTTCCTTAAGCGATCCAAATGCTCCTTTGGGGAACGCCGGGTCCTTTACTTAGGACATGTGATCAGCGGGCAAGGGGTCAAGGTGGATGACTCCAAGATTCAAGCTATCAAAGAATGGCCCAAACCACAGTCCACCAAGGCTCTCCGCGGGTTCCTAGGGTTGACGGGTTACTACCGCAAGTTTGTACAAAATTACGGACTTCTGGCGGCCCCACTAACCAATCTGCTCAAGAAAAATGCCTTCCATTGGGATAAGGCAACCGATACAGCCTTTGCGAGTTTAAGAGAAGCCCTCTCCTCCACACCAGTCTTGCAGTTGCCAAACTTTGACCTCGAGTTCACAGTTGAATGCGATGCATCCGGCACCGGCATAGGCGCCATACTACAGCAACAAGGGCACCCGGTCGCCTTCTTCAGTCGCAAACTGGCGGACCGCCATCTTAAATTACCCGCTTATGAACGCAAACTGATTGGGTTGGCCAAGGCAGTACAGCACTGGCGGCCATACCTATGGGGAAGGTCCTTCGTCGTCAAGACAGACCACTACAGCCTCAAATATTTGTTGGAACAACGGCTTACCACTTCGCTGCAACAACATTGGGTCAACAAACTGCTTGGTTTTGATTTTCGGGTGGACTACAAGGCAGGATCCTTAAACCGTGCCGCAGATGCCTTGTCTCGCCGAGAAGAAGACAATATGCTCCTTCATGCGATTCCACAACCCCGAGTCACCCTATTGGAAGACATTCGGCACACGCTGCCACAATCACCGGAATGGAGAGACCTTGTTTAGAAGATACAGTCTGGGACAACCGACCCCAATTGGTCCATTCACGACGGGTTTGTACTTTACAAAGGACGTATATACCTTCCGGCTGATTCTTCCTCCATCCCCGCAGTCATCTCCGGTATACATAACTCCTCTCACGAGGGCATTCAAAAGACACTGCATCGTATCCGAGCGGATTTCCATTGGCCAGGAATGAAAACTTCTATCCGGGACTTCATCAACAACTGCTCCACGTGCCAACAACATAAATGGGAGAACCTACATCCAGCCAACCTTCTTCAGCCCCTCTCAATTCCTACGCAGATTTGGGCGGATATATCCATGGATTTCATTGAGGGACTACCCAAGGTGGGAGGGAAGTCTGTTCTGTTCGTTGTGGTGGATCGTTTCTCTAAATATGCCCACTTCATCCCTATGGCACACCCATACAGTGACATTTCAGTTGCCCACATTTTCTTTACACATATTTTCCGTCTACATGGATTACTGGAATCCATCGTCAGCGACAGGGACCCCGTTTTTACCAGTACCTTCTTTAAGGAACTGTTCTGATTACATGGTATGACCTTGGCCTTCTCCTCCGCCTATCATCCTAAGATAGACGGCCAAACGGAAGCAGTCAACCGCACGATCGAAGTGTACCTCTGTTGTTTTGTAGGGGACCGACCGCGACGGTGGGTGGATTGGCTTCCTTGGGCCGAATATTGTTACAACACGACCTATCACTCATCCCTGGGCATGACACCCTTCCGAGTAGTCTACGGCCAAGATCCTCCTTGCTCGCTATCATACGAGCCTGGATCGACTTGACTGGACGAGATTGACCGTTCCCTCCAGGAACGTGATGCCCTCCTGGCTGAAGTCTCTGTTCGCCTGCAACAAGCGCAGTTACGCATGAAGCATACCTATGACCAGCATCGACGGGAGCTGATGTTTGAACCGGGTCAGTTTGTGTGGTTGAAGCTCCAGCCCTACCGACAACGATCCTTGAGACAGCGGGCTGCTCCCAAACTGGCTCCTAAATTCCATGGACCGTTCAAGGTTTTACGGCGGATCGGCCCAGTTGCATACTAGCTCGAGCTACCGACGAACAGCAGAATCCATGATATCTTTCACGTTTCCTTGCTCAAGTCATTCACAGGAGATCCACCGGATTAGATACCCGCTCTGCCACCCCTCAAAGACGGCAAGCTCATCCTCCAACCCCGGGCCCTCGTCCGCTCCAGAATCAATCGGGGTGTCCTCGAGGTCCTTGTGGAATGGGACAACTTACCATCAGCCGAAGCCACCTGGATGCCCTTCACTGAACTAAGGGACACATATCCCGAGCTTGAGGACAAGCTCGTAGTCCCGGAGGGTGTAATGTTGCGGATGCATTCGTTGGGAAGAAATACCGCCGCGGGCAGCAGCAACAACAGTAACGAGGTGTCCACACAGGAGTCCACGTAGGATTAGGCCGCAGCTTACTTCATCTTATCTTTCACAGTTATCTTATTTGTTTTTCTCATTTATCTAGTCCGATAAGGTTTAGTAGGGAGTCTTATAGTAGGAGTTTGATTTATCTAGGGAGTCTTATCCTTCCCAAGATAGGGATCTTATCTGTAAGAAGTCGAATCCAATAAGGAGTATCCCTACCTCTTGTAATCTCCTATTTAAGGAGCTGGAATTAAAGAATAAAGGCATCAAATTTTCGGTCAAGAAAGGAGTAAGGAGAGTTAGGGTGATCTCTTGGACAAATCACCATTAGGGTGCCAAGATAGGTTCCTCAAGGAAAGGGAGGAACAAGGGAAAACAGGAGGTTCTCCCCGTGGACCGACCCGTGACGCGATCCTACGCCCGTGCCCATAACAATAAACCAGTGGAAGACAACCTGATGGCACACCTGGAAGTATATTTTCCATAAGAAAAGTTTATCTGTTTGTGTGTATCAAGTTCAGAAAGAAGCAATACTCATGAGTTATGCCACCCTCCAACTATTTATATTCAAGAATATTGTGGCAAGATTTTCTGGATTTTTTTATCAGAGTAGAGGCAAAGATTAGATTTATGCCTTCTTTTAATTCCATGAATCCTATGATACAGTTTGGAGAAGATAGTTGCCTTGAAAGTTTTAAGTAGATCTGTGGATCTAGGTTTAAGTTTCTTGTGTTAATATTTTATCATTTGCTCTATACAAATGATTTAAGAAGGAATATATACCTTTTATAAGAAGAGCAGAAGGAAAAAAATAAGTGATATCCAAAACCATCATATATGTATTGAAGGAATTAGAGAATGAAACAATCTGAAACTATGCATAAGCATAAACAAAAAAGATCTCAAAATCTCATTCTCAAGTCCCAATCCATTGTATGGCTTTTGGAATATGAAGGAATGAACTAGGAGGGCTTAAGTTTGAATACTTTTGGCATTCATGAAGAGATTTTAGGTGTGTATTCCAATAAACTTTTTATATGTTTGTTCGACCATTAAAACATCATAAAAATAAAGGCTATTTTAAAAGCCAAAATATAATTTGAATACCATACACAATACTAATTGTTGAGTTAGAGAAATAATGAACACACAGAAACTCGACCTAATCACAGTAAATTTTAGGTCCTGCTCTATGAGAAATAAAAATATATTTTAATGTACCTCCTCATTTTCTACATAATAGGTTGTGTTCTTTGATCAACCAATTATAATTAGTGAGTCACTGTCTTGGAATTTGAGAGCTCTACCCCAACCTTAAATATAGATGTCATCCTTGGGCTTCTACATTGATATATCTGATTCAAATCATACAATATGGTGGATATTTTACTTGGTATTTGTGTTCTCTTATGTAGTCTTAATTTTTATATAATAAATAGACATGTCTGTGTGTGACATGTACATAGACACAATACATAGACACAAGTACATGCATGCACTCACATGTCTGTGTGTGTACAATCTGGTAGAGCCTAGTTGGGTTTATTGACAGCATGACCATATAATTGATTAGAGTCAAGTGACAAGAATAAAATTATTGAAGATAATGCAAGATTAGCACATCACTGGAGCTTCTCTGTTTACCTAGATCAAAATTATACTAAAATATGGAGTTTCTGAAGAGCATCCATTTCCTTCCAAGCACCAAACAAACATATCTTGGAGGCCTAACAACTAAGAGCAACTAACATTCAAATCAAACTTTATTAACCTTTGAAAATCTTGGATCCAGACCATAATTTTGGTTCATTGCATATGATCTTTTATTCAACTAATCGCAGAGGTGATGTTATGCTTTCAGATAATTATAAAATTAACTCATATATCATGCTTTAAGACTTGTATATTAGAGAACTATCAGAAAACAGTTACATTAGAATTAACGATTCAAAGATGGTTAAGACATAATAATTGCAGATGCAAGCAATATTTTCTTATAGATACTGGGCAACTTTAATAAAATCTACAGTCTACAGATGATTGGCTGTACTCATTAATTAAGAGTTATAGGAAGAAATTTTAGATGAAAGAAACTGAGCACCTGCCAAGCTGTTTGGGTTGTCTCCAGACCACTGAATAACCAAACAATTCTTGTTGAAGTGGAACCTGAAACCAGATCAAACAAGTTTCTTGTTGTCAGAGTTAAAATGTAAAGTTAGAGCAACAAACATTTATTTTCAGTACATTAAACACCATACAACTACCAAGTCTAATTGGGAGCTGCAAGAAAATAATGGTTGAAGGCTGAGTTTGTAGACATAATAGGTAATATAAATGTGGGCACTGTATCATAGTTCAGCTGCCAAATTTACATGGTGATACACTGTGGGAGGCACACGATGCACATGAGTGATATTTATCCCTGTAGCCTTTTCCAAATAAATTTTCTGTGCTCCAGTTTATCTCAAAAGTCTTTGATAAATGAAGTTTTGAGATACCATAGCAAAAAGGTCCAGCTGCCAACCAAACACTAGGGATCTCCACATGGTTAATGAGGCAAAAATCATGGGGAGATCCCTCATTAACCATGTGGAGATCTCCACATGGTTAATGAGGGATCTCCATACTAGGGTTGTCCACATGGTTAATGAGGGTCACACGCTTATAAGAGCAACATATACTGATATACATGTATCCGTATATCAAAATAATACTCAAAAAAGGGTGTTTTCCTAGCTCTGCCTGAAATGATTATGAAGGAGCCCCCGAAAATAATAGAGTAGGACAGAGATAGAGAGAGAAGAGAAAAGATGAGAGAGATACTATCATCCACCAGCAACCATTGAAGATGATAGCAGTATTATCATCTTCATAACCTAACCTAATATTCTAATCTAATGGCTAGGATCATTTCAACCCATTTGACCTGGATAGTTGAACTGCTGACCTGCCACCCAGAGGGAAAAGCAATTCCTTTTCCATGTTGGTTTTTGAAACAGAGGTAAAAAGTTGTATCAAACATTAGTCATGGGAAGTGAAGAGATAAAATGAACATTTTATACTTGTTTCAGTTTTTCCCAATATCAAATACATTTAAAGCAATCCTGTTTTAAATGTGCTGCAAGACTACAACAACAGAGCATGATAATCTTTTCTTCACATGGTTTTACTGAGTTTTCTTTACATATTTCTAGTGCATTTGAAAATAGGATTGGTATATGGTCGATCAAGTCAAGAATTCCATACTAAAAGATCAGACAACATGGTAATGTAGAGCAAAGAACATGGAATTTTGATAATTCAGGGTAAGAAGAAGAATACTACTCACTTCTCCACAAAATAGGGAGCAATGAAACCAGCAACAGCATGGGCAGGTGCTAATTTTCCAAGCTTTTCTTCTAAACCTGGTGCCGTAGCCTACAATGACAATTATTGAGGCAAAGCCACCAATCGCCATTGATATATCAAAAAGATAATGTTGGAGAACTCAAATCCAGTTATATGAATCTGTACCTCCAAAGCAATTTTAGACCAGACACGTTGGTTGATATCCATCAAATTCATCCCTGCTCCATCAGTCTCATCAATACTGGCGTAAGCTCCAATAAGAAGAGATGCCATGAAGGAACTAACGAGGGAGATCCTCTCAGTCTCACGATACACATCTGGCTGCTTCTCGAATATCTTCCGGATTTGTGGGCCTGTGAACCTCTCATAAGCGCGCGACCCTGTAATTCGGGATAATTCCAATGCACCTCCAACAGCTTTCTCTATCTCCTTGCACTGCTCGGTGGTGCTACTATCCATCCATATCGGCGACTCCTTTATGGAGAATGCATTCTCAAGCTGATCCAACAATGGCTTACTGGCATCCAGAGATGCCAATATGGCAGAACTGCCATTCTTCCAGTAGACACTTCCGTGTTGCTGACCACTACCAGAAACAGCGACAATCCTTTCAAAATCCAACTTGGAGTTGGCAAATTTCCCAAGAACAAGGTCCAGAGCTTCCACCCACATCAGAGTGGGAGACACAATTCTGCCGTTTTCAGATGGGTCTCTGTAGACTCCATCTTTAGTCTTGTAGTGGGGCAATTCAGAACCGAAATGCACTATCTCTGAAGCGACAATGTTGAGGTTGGAGTCTAAAACCGTCGCCTTGAGTGACCTAAACAATCAGACTCCCATTAAACTCAAGGGTTCTGATATTGCTGTAGTTATTTATTTGGTAAACAGAAATCAACATGCAAAACTATTCCATTTAGACAAAATCTAAACCCCAAATAAATAAAAAGTTGATATAACTCACTGAGTAGAACTATCAAATCCAAGGAAGAGAGAATCCTGCGGAAGAGAACAATCCTCCATTGTTGAAACTTGTCCCAGCAAGCCAACCTCTAAGCTCCAAAACACGAAACCACAAATTAAGACAGAAATATAAAGGCGAAACGCGAAATTTATTGGGTTTGGATTAAAACGGAATTTTAGTAAGATTGGGTTATCGGATTTGGGCTTAAATAAGAAAGTTTAATAGCTTACGATCCACCTCACTTCGAGTCCGAATCTCCTGCAAGTCTGCAACCATATTTATCACAATCACAAACTACCAACTCATAGGAAAAGGAGAGAGACGAGTCAGACGACTACGTGGCATTTTCTTTCATTTTTCTAATTTTTAAAAATTTATGAAATTTAATACACACGTAATAAGTCACTGTTGTCTGTAGCTCACCTCTCTGGCTCTCATTACTTTCTCAATAAGGTTTAAAGCATGGATACGGTATACTGTGAATCTTGATTAGCTCATTGAATTTTTTCAAACCCCATGAGTTTTTTCACGAATTGAAAAAATAATAGATAAAACTATATTAATGCAAATCAAGTATGATAAAGAAAATACAATTTGGGATGAAAATATCGATTTGAACTAAGTTGGGAAGAATTTGGATTTAGGCGATTATAAAGTGGTTTGATTGATGTTTGACAATTTATAATTATTTATTTGTTATTATTTTTCACTTTGTACTATTTCATCATAAAATATAAATATAAAGTAAGTTGTATTGTGCCAATACGACATGATTTTGCCGGTTGTCTATGTTTTAACAGGTCGTGTCATGCCAACAAGTGGTCTTGGGTGGGTCATGCCCTACTGAAACTCTTCAAAGGTTAGGCCTGTACCGCGAGCCTAGGCAGGCTCAACCATAGGCCAAGGTGTGAGAGACATGATCTTTTATTAAAAATTGAAAAAATATAACGAAAAGTTAAATAAATTAACAAAATAGACAATAAATTGAAAAAATCTTAAAATTTTATTTTATATGAAATTTGATGTATACAATTGTTTATATATGAAATTAAAAAAATATAATATAATTTGAATAAAATAGTATGTTCTATGATGGGCTATAGGCCTATACCAGCATGATCCACTTTTTTGTTCTATATCGTGATGGCGCACGAGCCTCAAAAAAGCCTAACACAACTCGGGGGTATGGGCTAGCCCAATTGCTACAATGACTAGGCTATGTTGGGTATAACCCACTTTATAGTTTCACATTTACGAGAGATCAAACATTGAAATAGCAAAAAATGACGAAGGTAAAAATTAAAGGATGCAACTTTGGTTGATAGTCAATATGTTAACGGTTAGTATTCATTTTTATTGGAAGAAACTTTGTTTTAGTGTACATCCCATTTAATGATAGGTTAAATAAATATCAGAATAACAAAAAACATAGAGGGTAAAGAGGGATCATGATTTGATCTGATCCAAAGTCTGATCATATTTTATCAGATTTGGATATCTTCATTATGGATTTTGGGATCAGATTGGATAATCAGATCCGATTAAAAACCAAATTGGATTCGGATCACCCCTATCCGATTCAAAAGGATCCAATAAGTTATTTATATTTTTATAAATTTTTTATATTATTTATTTTTTTATAAACAAACATGTATATATGATGAAAATAGTTGAAAAATACTTTCATTTTTTGTTTTTCTTTATTTAAATTTTTAATTTTTCTTTTTTAATAATTTATTATTTAAAAAAATAAATATGATTGGATCAAATTCGAATATCTAACATCCTTATTGAATTTGAATCTAAATTAATATTTGTGAGATCCGATCGAATTGGATTGGACCTATAATTTATCATATCGGATTCAGATATACTTTGATTTGAATATGATCCGATCAATTTGCATCCCTGTAAAAAGGGAAAGTGTAATCAGGCTTTTTGACAAAACATTGATACCATCCTCATTTTTATTATAGATTATAGAAATCTATAATGGTTATAGAGAAATTAGGGTACAATGGCTAAAAAGGGAAAATAATGGAAATATAAAATACTATATATAATATTATAGAAATATATAATGGAATAACAATGACTAAAGGGGGCAATAATAGAAATAGATATGCAATTAGAATAATAATGACTAAAGAGAGGTAATAATGGAAATAGATAATTAGATTACCCATCTACTATTCTCATTTTTATATATGATAATAGAAATAAATAAAAATATCCTATCTTTATTCCTCACTTGAATTGCTGTGCCATAAAAATCAGGGTATAATGATTGAGGGGCAAAAATAAAAATAGAAAAATTAGGGTCTTTTGACGATAACCATTCTCATTTTTATAAATGATACAGAAATAAGTAATGCATAATCGCAGATAAGTGGGTGAATTAGGGGGCGTTTGCCAATATACGATTTTGCTTTTTAAAAATAAAAATAACAAATACAATTTTTTTTTTGAAAGCCAAAACTTTGGTCTATCAAGAGATACAAACTTTGAAATATACTATCGTTTGATGGCAAAATCTATGGTTAATTGAGCGTGGTAACAAGTACACCTTGTTAAATGTGTAACTTGTACTTTATGAATGATTTGTGCTAATATAAAGAGAAAATGTCAAACAACCAAAGATTTAGAGCTGATGCATTGATGAATCTGTTATATTAAAACAAAACTTGTCAGTTCAGATGGCCTCTAATTTGCCACCTCAGCATTCCTGTTCCCCTTCTATTTACACTTTTAATGTATAGGAAGTTCTAAATTATCTCAAACTCCCCTTTATTCTCTCCACCTTTCCATAAAGATAGACACTAACTTGATAACATTTAATTTTCTAAATCAATATACCCTTCTCCTTTCTCCCGTTCGTTTCTCTCTCCTAAAATCTCCCATATTCGGCTGAATAGAGAGAGATTATAAAGAAAATAATAAAAAATGTATATATTAAATTATAAATATATATTTTAATAAATATTATATTATTTATATATTTTATATAATATATAAATTATATAATGTTGAGTCGGGTCAGATCGAATTCGGGTCAGGTTTTTTTGACAAATCTCGAACCCAGCCCAAAACACAGTCGGACTTACTGTGTTAGGCCCGAGGTCAGGCCCACGAGCCTAATTACATGACTAAGCCCGACCGGAGTACAGGCCGGGCCATCAGACTACCCGGCCCATGAACAGGTCTAATCTCAGACAAGTCTATCCCTCTCTCACCCCACCACTTTCTTTTCATCTGTATTTCACCGTTAATCATGACCAAAGAGGTCTTGAGTCTTGGCTCTCGCCCAAGTGGATAAGAGGGCTATATCAGAATCAGACTACGTTGCACTTTTTTCAGCACCTCCAAGATAAGTTTAACTTGGCTCATAACGTCATAAGCTTTTCAGTTTTTTATTTGTTTTTCATATTTCAGATCTAAGCAAACGCAAGGAAAGTTTTACTCGGCCAATTAATTAATTCCTGTACAAGATAAATGATATGTAATTAATAATCGTGTCAACTCATCTTAGTACAATTCAACTGGGCTTTAAACCATTGAGTTCATATGTCAAATGTGTTCTTTTAATTGATTTTGGCGATCTGTTGGCCGATCATGATGGGTTTGTTTGACATTTGCCCGTTAGGGGAGGTCTTAGTCAATTTTGAAAAAATGAGAGGAGGTTTCAGTATTTGTGTGAAAAATCAAGGAAAGCTTAATTTTTTTACCCATAAATCTAACACTAAAGATGTTTCCAAACTCGTATAGAGAAATAAGTCAAAGCGTGCCTCATACCAATCTCACAATGCATCACAGCTGTGCATTGAGAACATCTCTCTTACATGATGTTTCCAAATTAGTATTTTATATACTCAGGTTCTAAATAAGTCATTTTCTATTGGCAGGTAAAGAAGACAATCTAACTGGACTTAATCGCATTGGACACTTGGATTCATGTCTAATCCATTGGATAGCTGCCCACAATTTTTTTTTTGGATATTGATCCCATGTTATAGATGGGGAGTCTAGATCTGATTCTCATAAAGCACTCCACATATCAACCTCACATCATGTTTTAATTGCGCATCAAAAACATCTTTCATACTTGTACATTATTATTCATGACAGATGTTCCCAATACATAGTGAGATGTGACTACAAAATCGGTGTGAGGAAGCTCTAGGAAGAATAGAGACTTGTAGATGGGACCTGTATATGGGCCCGGTTTCGATTTCACCCTGTATTATACGTCTCCCTAACAAAATATATAAATAAGAAAAATTGAACTTAGTAAATTACAACATCGTGAGCTTCTTGGTACATTAACAAGGATGTATCATTGAGAATCATCACCTTGGTTTTAGGCAAAGTGAGAAAGCCACCCATCCTTCCAAGATACAAAGAAAAATCATCACCTAAACTCGTATTCTAGTAAGATAAGATACTACTCTATTCCTAAGCAAGTCTGCCTCGGACAAGGAACACAGGGTTTCCCAACATCTAGCTTGCAACTATGTCGAGGGGTCCTCAGCCTCCTCTTCATCTTCATCATGACCCTCACCTCTGGCATTGATTGGAGGAATAAAGTCATCGTCTACCTCCTCATAGACATCTTCTTCAAATTCTTATCTCCAAAATGTCCATTTCGATTGTCACGTGTAAACACCTGCTGCTCATGAACTTGGTAGACAGAACATTGGGGCTGTTTGATGCATCTTTCCATGCAGTATTTCGGCTGTTTATAAGTTGGGAAGACAAAAAATCGGTCTATTTTCATTTGGCATGCAGAAGATCTAACCGCCAAAAGACGGGATGCCGAAAAGACGCGAAAAACTCATTTTGGGTTGATTTCAGAAAGCTCCAAATGAAGGTTCTCACATCTTTCATGTTTTAATCTTGCACGGAAAGACCTGAAATGACGTACGAAAAGATACACATATGCCAAATGGTCTTCGGGCTGCCCAAATCTTATGTCAAAAGCTGAATGTGTCTTTAGACTGTCAAGCTACAAAGCTACAAGAAGATCTTCTCGAAAAGACTTACCAAACAGGCCCACATGTATGTTCTAATCACTGGCATTTAATGCATGAGCTAAATGGAAAAGCAAGTCCAATTAGTCAACACAGCGGTTAGCGATTCTCATAGTTTGGTTAAATAGGGCTCGTTTGGCAAGTCTTTTTGAGAAGATCTTACCATTACTATGATAGTCAATAGATGCATTGAGCTTTTGACATAAGATCTGGGTAGTTCGAAGACTGTTTGGCAGATGCACGTCTTTTTATGCGTCATTTCGGGTCTTTCCATGTGAGATTAACATGTGAAAGACATGATAAGCTTCATTTAGAGCTTCCCGAAATCAGCACAAAATGGGCTTCACGTGTCTTTTCGGCACTGCATTTTTTGGCAACTAGATCTTCTGTGTCAAATGGGAATGGTCTTCACAACTTGTAAACAGCCAAAAGACTGTACAGAAAGATACGCCAAATGACACCTAAACCATTGGACTTTTTTTCCAAAACTAAACCTTCGAAAACTGAAAACCAAAATTGAACTGGAACCAATCAATTAACCTCCTGACCAGTTTGGTTCTCTGACTTTTTTGGCTTTACTAATTTTTAATATATGTTATAAATAAATATACAATTATATAATATAAACATTAGAAATATATGTAACGGTTAGGTACTTCTGCATTCGAGCTCACTACGAGCCTATCTTGGCACTAGCACCGACTACCGAGCACCTAGCACCTCGTCTTTAGAAGTAGGGATAGTTGATGAGGTGGTCGAATTGACACGTGGCCGAATTGAACCAACACATGAAAGCTTAATCAACCAACACCTCGTCTTTCAAGTTGAACCAACACATGAAAGCTTAATGAAATGACACGTGGCCGAATTGAAGACGGTCGCTTATCCAAAGTTCAGACGAGTTGAGGAACAGTGATGTGGTGCACCGGGGTACGCACCGGAGGCTAACATTAGTGCACGCCACAACCCACAGACAAAGTGGGGACCCGTGGTGAACACCAAACTAAACCAACCATACCACTAAGGTTAGCACGCCCCTGAATTCTTACGTGGAACATGTGATGGTCATCTCTTAAACTTTAATTGCTAATAGATTTATTTATGGATCGGGTTGGGCTTTGTCTTTATATTAACAAAATACATTCATAGGCTCATATCTAAGTTTAAGTTCAAGTCTGACTTTCATATAAAGCCCGAAGCCCAGGCTTGGGTCCAGGCAAAAAACTTGGGCCAAGTTTTTTTCTGAGAAAACCTAAGTCTAACAAAAAAAAATCGGGTAATGGTGTTTTGGGCCTGAACCAGAACTCATAGGCCTTGATTCATGTTTAAGCCTGACTTAGAATTGGCTGAGCCAGTTGGCCCATCAAACTACCCAGCCAATGAATAGATCTATTTAGTAATCACCTCGGAAAGTGACATGTGCTCTATAAGCAAAGAACACAACAACACTCTCCAACAGGTATATAAGGACACGTCGGCCAAGGTGAGATCTTCTTCGCACTCTCTAGCTTTCGAACCCCCTCACAATTACAACCTCGGGGCCTCTGACTTGTGTATCAGTCCAACTCAACAACATCATTACCATCACTAATCCTCCTCCTTTACTTAATATGATTCGGCCACGTAAGAAAGGGATTATTTTGTTAAAAAAAGGAAAATAAAGATGCATTATATGCCATATTTATATTATATTATAAAAAAGGAAAAATAATTGGATATGCCAATTAGATTAAAATATATAAATGCATGTCGGGGAAAAAAGTCAAAAAGATGGAGTTTTGACCTTCAAAATCTAGCACCTTTGAATCTCACCCAATTCTATTCCACGTTTGCGTTGAGCCAAAGCAAATTAAACTGAGTTGGAAATTGGAATCCAGTCCCGTCCATCCCACATTCCCACACGTGTAGTGTAGCTCCACCTTTTTTTATGCCCCCTCGCTAACTTAACTCGTAAGTCTCTTTCTTTCCTAATCCAAACAAGCCTCCAATTTGGTCATCGATCACGTAACTCCTAGTCGGTTACATTCCTTTTTCAATTACTATTGTACCCTCATTGCTGTCTCGGTCCGCGGTACGACTGCTTCTATACGTCCACCGGTCCGCGGGATGACCACGCACGACCTCGTCCTTTTTTGTTTCTTATACAAAATGACTAAAGTATCCTTTTGAAAATTTCCATTCGATAATCAAGAATGTAGATCTGACAAAAATTGACCCAACCCGCGAAGGTCATGGATCAATCCGTTAATTCTGTTGCCAAGTCTAATTAAGATTATTTATGTATTATTAGAAGTTTCCACTTTTTAATTTTTACTATTTATTATTTATTTCTTGAATTGTTAAATGTTTAAGTTTTTTTATTTTATTTTAAGAATTTTAAGATTAAATCCTTTCATTTTAGCATTTTTCACATATTTTCTCTTTATTTTTTAAAATTTCAGATATTTATGACCCAAATTGATTCATAGGCTAATCCTAACCTGAATATTTAGAGTCATATAAACATTTGAGAATCTGACCCGAAAATAATCCGAAGTCCCAATCCAAACCCGACCCATCCAACCCGATTGTCAAATGGTTATTATCGTCTTTTGGGAAGAGCATGTGAGATGTAAATTTCTTCAGAACTGGGGTGCTTTCTTCAATGAACCTTCGCGCCCAAGAAACCGTCTTCCGCCCGTCGCCTTGATCTATATAAATTGAAGAGTCAGAGACCGACATGAATTGAAGACCGACGGGTGTTAATATATCTGATCATTGACGCATAGTGTTACCTATTTGTTGTTTTAATCAGTTTCTTCTCAATTGCGATGCTTTCCTCATACGGAGCGGTCTGATACGGAGAGATAGAAGAGAGAGAGAGACGCCACCGACTTCGTCTGAGTTTTGCAAAGCGAGGATGCAGGAACAAACTAATGAGGCTAATTTAGGTTCTATGATTGCAGGTAGGAGTAACAACAGAATAGATTTGAGCTCAATGAAGAGGAGGCATCAACAAAAGGAAGTTGTTCTAAGATTAGATATTGAAAATCCAGTTGCTCTTTCAAACTCGAGTTCGTGTAGCATTAGAGTTGAAGAACAATCCGATATTGCACCTGGGTTTTCTTCTACGCAAGCATTGCTAGAGAATTACTCGAATTTTAAGCGTAGTAGTGCTCCTTCTAGGTTCATGTTCTACGAGAAGGGGCGTTGGGTCGATTTCTGCCCAGAGGTATTTGAGATTCTGAGATTGGGCTTCTTGGAAGGCAGGCCAATGGTCGAGGTGGAAATCAAGGGCGGTCGGTTCCTCTTCGATTTCCTAAGGATGGCGCAGCTGAATTTGATAACCGGTAATCAACGGTCTATAGCTTGGATTGATGCTAATGGGAGATGTTTCTTCCCCAAATTATCTGTGGACGAAGAAATTGACACTATGGCTCCCGTGGCCACGTCCCCGAAGATTGGTAAGAGGAAGAGACATCAATTGGAATTGGTTTCAGCCGACCAAGTGTCCGATGAAAATTCCTCATCAGATCAACTCGATACAGCGAAAAGATGCCGTGTTCGTTCTAGTTTTCCTCCTATCTTGGAACGAACGAAATGGCCTAACGTAAAGCGCCTGGATGATGGAGACGAGAATTACTCTTTGATCAATAAGGTTTTCCTCTCTGGGTTGAAGAAAATCGATCCAGATGCCACCATTACTGCTATCTATCGCTGTTTGCACATGGGTCCGTCGGGAGGTGCTCGTTTGGAAGTGTTTCGCAAGCAGATGGAGATGACAAAGGTCGCTCGAGGTACATCCAACGTTAGGCTTGCATGGCATGGAACATCAGCTAAAGGCGTGGCAGGAATCGTAGCGCATGGTTTTGGGCTACCAAACAAGCTGTGTGGTTTTGGCTCTTATGGGGTCGGCATCTATCTTTCTCCCCCGTATTCACCCCAAACAAGGTATTAATCCTGTCCCCTTCTTTTAAGTTACTCGTCTTTCTCGCCTTTTTTTTTTTTTCTTTTTCCTTGAATGGGTAGATACGAATAAGCTTTTTTACGAATAATTCGAATTCGGTTCCCGAAGAACTTGATTCGACTCGACAGTCCTGTCTGATAATCAAGCCATTAGTATTGACTAAATTAAGGAGGTGAATACGAATCAATCTTTGTACGAACTATTCCAACTCAGTCCATAAAAATCTCAATTTGGCTTGATCTAAATCTAACATATATAGGATTTGTTAATCTAACTTATATAACTTGAATTTATATAAATTTGTTTGATAATTAAACTGAACTACGGCTGGTAGGGATGGATACGAATCAAGTTTTTTACACAAGTTATTCGATTAAGTTCATGAAAAGTACAATTTAGTTTGATTTAAATTAAGTTTACATAGACTTTACTAGGGTGAACAAATTCAATCGAATAAATCAAAATGTTAAATAAAAAACCAAATTGAAATTAAAATTTTGGTTTGGTTTTCAGTTAAAAACTAAATTTCATAAATATGTATATTATAGATGATGATGCTAGTAAAGTAGGGGTGTAAACTGTATTTGAAGCAAATCGAATTCAAATATTTAATCGGATTTGAATTCGGATATTAATTTTCAATATCCGTTCGATATCGAGTCGAATTCGGATATCAGATTTTCTAATCGGATTCGAATTTTGATATTGCCTTATTCGATTCGAATTCGATCCGTTTACACTCCTAACTGGAAGGCAGTTTGGACGTCGAACTGCAAGGCAAGAAAATCAGAGCTCTCGGGGTACTTTACCCGATGTGAGCACTCCGATGCTTAAGTTAGCGAAGGAGATTATGGAGAGTTGATTGCTTGAGAATAATAGTAAATTGTGAGAGTTAAATCGCACGCACCTTGTGAGGCTGGAGGTGAAGCCTTTATATAGGTGAGTTGTTGTGGGCCTCACGATGCGTGTTCGAGATCACTGGCTTGTCTAACCTGGAGTCAATTCTACACCTGAAGATGGATTATGAGTAAGTTGATAAGGCTTATCCAGGTTCGTTCGATTCAGGCAAGATGAAGATAAGGTTCGTTGGCACGCGGCATGATCCCGAGGAGATAGAAACAACTGGCTCGCTTCTAGAAGGAGGCTACGTGGAACCTCGACAGGTCGATGAGTGTGGCGAGTTGCTTGGGCCCCAGTGTCTTGGTTGAGTGGCCCGAGGTGACTAGGACTGTTGAGGTGTCCAGGGATGCTGAAGTGTTGCCAAATCGACGGATCGCTCCACGTGTCATCATGTCATTGAACAGGCTAAATTGTCCATCATCAATAGATATTATGTATGCATTATATATTAAAAATATACATTATACATAACCAAAAACTAAAAAAAAATGAAACCAAAATTTTTTGTTTGTTTTTTTAGTTTTAACCGAACAATGCATTCCTAGATTCCACATGAATCAATCTTTTTACGAGCTATTCTAGATCCATGAAAATCTTAATTTGGCTTGATCTAAATTGATCTTATATAGACTCGTTTGCTAATAGAGCCGAACTCGAACCCAATGAAACTCGTCTCCTGAGCTTTTATCCATTTGAGCTTCTGAGTCAAGTGGAATTCAAGCTCAATCTCTAAGCCAAATATTTGGCTCAGTTTGGCTGGAATTCACCCTAATGGCTGCCATTAATTAGTAACTGCCTAACTGATAATTAAATTAATCTTTGATTTATTACAGTGCTTTGGTATCGGAGGCGGATAATGATGGAGAAAGGCACGTTGTATTGTGTCGGGTTATACTGGGAAATGTCGAAAAGATTGAGGCAGGATCAAGACAATTCCATCCATCAAGTGAAGAATTTGACACTGGCGTAGATGATCTCAGGAACCCTAAATGGTATATAGTATGGAGTACCCACATGAATAGATACATTCTCCCTGAGTGTATTGTGAGCTATAAATCCTCTCATCGTCCAGAAGGTCCAGAAGGTGCATCATCTATTGCTCTTTCTCTGTGGCTTCAATTTACAGACAAATTTATATACTTGTAGTAAGTAGAAACATGTTTTAACTTTTTCGATTTTGATTTAGCAGGATTATTCAGAGGGTCATCAGTATTACGAAGGATACCTGCTTCAAGTATGTCGTTTACGAGGTTATTTTCTGAGATGAAGAGCTCCCTTTCCACCATAACAATTAAAGAATTGGAGGATTTATACAATTTGTACAAGGTAACATAGACATATTCCCAGATGTTCTTGAATCAGTAACTGTTTTAATACTTGTTTGATTGTGATTTCTTTAGGTTGGAAAGGTGGCCAAAGATGTGTTCATAAAACAATTAAGGTTGCACGTTGGGGATGAGATATTGCTTTCTGCTGTTCAAAAAGTTCAAGACAGCACCTAGTAAGAATTCATATATGCTGTATTGGTTGGTTCACTGTCAGTTTCTTTCTTTTCTTTTTTCATAAGCAAGGTTCTGTGCCAATTGGCACAATATGAGAAATTCATTCTTGTAAAGTAATTGCATACAAGTGCCAGGGGAGTGAACAAAGAGAGCAATTGTTACTGTATCGGAAACCAAAATATCGAATATTTACTTTCTCTCGTCAATGGCGAAACTGAATTGTCTGTTAATTTTTTTATGTCAATTTCTTAAATTAATGTTCTTGAATAAGTATACCCCTATTCGTTAATTTTTTATGTGAATGATATATTTGTCAAAAATTCTTAAAATACCTCCGTTCCTAAAAATACCCTTTGGCCTCTGTTCCTAAAATACCATCCCTAAAACCTCTCCATATCCATCTACGATTCTCCGTCTCAGTATCACTTAGAGGCTTTCTTCCTCATTATTTCAGCATTATCAAACTCAAAGGCTTCCGCACTTGGCTAGCAAGCGTTTCATTTCTCTCTTACTTGTTTATCCGTTTCAAACGAAAACCCAGAAGCAATGTCGATCATCCCAAGCATCTTTGGTGGCTGATGAAGCAACGTTTTTGATCCCTTCTCTCTAGACATTTGGGATCCTCTTTAGGATTTTCCTTTCACCTGTGCTCTTACCACACCTCAATTCCCAATCGAGACAGCAGCATTCGCCAATGCTCGCATCAATTGGAAAGAGACCCTAGAAGCCCATGTCTTCAAAGTTAACCTTCCTGGGCTCAAGAAGGAGGTAGTGAAAGTCGAACTGGAGGAAGGTAGGGTCTTACAAACCAGTGGAGAGGCAGACGGTAGAAACATCGTCTGAGTGTGAGTTTTACCGAAAACCAAGAGGAATGGATTTGAGTGGCGACTGAGAAAAGGGGGCCGGTGACAATTGGGGAGGTTGAAAATGATGAAATAATGAGGGGAAAATTTGAGGAAAGAAAACAAAACTGAGAATCGATCAAGTGTATGCTGGAGTTGAGTGGGAGAGATGAGAGACTACAACCATTGTGAGAGAGAAAGAGATAGAGAGAGGCGGAAATCTCTTCGACGTCGGCCATAAAAGAAAGAGAAAAGAAGCTTGACTTTTATTTCCTTATTCTTCTTCGTCAGCTTTGTCCCTCTTTTTGCAGAAAGGAAGCTTTGTTGTTGTGGAAATCTCATCTGGTCATTGATGTCCTCTTCAGTTCTTGGTTGCGATGCCAATGCCCAATTTTGAGTATATTTTAGATCTCAGATATGGTTTTCTTGCATATACGAGAGATTCAAAAGTTCTGAAACTGCTCGGAGATCTCCAATCTCTCTCCGCCGATCTTGGGAAACTTGTAATAGGGGCCTTCTCGACCTTCTTCTCCTCTGCCGCCTTTTTTCTTTTCACCATCGCACCGTCGTTCGAAAATTGCAACGATAAATATCACAAACGAAGGCAATGGTGCTCACACATAAATTGAACTTAAGGGCAAAACAAACATTTCAGCCTTTTTGTCGATATTTAACGACAATTGGTAATTTTTCAAAATAATAGGGGTAGCTTAGACAATATGGGTATACTTAGTCAATTAATTAAGCCATAAGGGTAGTCTAAGAAATTTATCTAATTTTTTAAGGTAAAATACAAAAGCCTCACCTAACGTTTTTTATAATCATAAAAACCTCTCCTATAGTTACATTTTAGTAAAAACCCTCCCTGAATTTTTAAAGAATTTGTCAAAAACCTCCCTTCCAGCAATGACCTAAACGGAAAATGTCAGACCGGTACATCAATTTTGTTCCAAATTCCCATTTTACCCTTTTACAAATTAGTTTGCATACATTTTTATTGAAATACCCCTATCGACCTGTTATCCTCTTTACCTCTCTCATCAACCTCTTTTATCCTCTGTTCTATCCCTGAATTCTTTCGTCCAAAGAGGAGGAAAGCAACAACTCTTTTAATCTTTCATCCAAACCCAAATGGAACACAACTCTTTCCTTTTCTCCCTGAACTTTCTTTGCCAATTTCTTCCTCCTCTTTCAATCTCCCAAGAATTTGTAATTTTGTGCTCAGTTATGTTTCTCCTGTTTATTGCCCTACTTGACTTAGAAAAAAAAATCTATTTATTGAAGCATAAAATTTTAATGTATTTTGGAGATATGGACATGTTGAATGATATAGAGTATTTTTCTTATAAAAAATTTTCAAACCAGCAGCTGTTTGTGCTAATGGAATGTTGTTTTCAGGATAAAACTAATTAATGTTCACCATTCATTGGCCTAGCCGCCTAGCATATTGATAGCTCCAAGGTGATGCAAGATACTTATGGTGGGGAACAAGATGATATTGATCATTCATATGAGGTTCCTATAGCCAACCATCCACCATTACCAGTCAAGGAAGCTAATGGGAATGAGGGCTCATTCTCATGAGTTTTTTGTACACGGGTTTCCAAATCATAAAGCACACAGTGTGTTGTATATATTCAGTCGCAAAATTTTCTATATACAGGTTTTCAAATCATTCTTCGGTATAAATGCATCACTATAAGTCATTTGTATATAGATTTCACTTCTAGGAAGGAAATTATTTCCAAAATCGGGTCCTTTAAATCGAAAAACATCTCATATAGCCATAATCTACTCTCGCAACTGAAGCGTTCTCTCTTCCAAAGTTCTGTGATTCCAAGTTTCAACTGAGATAGAGAAAACAGAGCAAGATGAATGATTTGATAACAAAACCCTTCCTCAGCTATGTGGATCTGAAGAAAGAAGCCATGAAAGATTTGGGAGTTGGCAATGTTGACCTGGAGATGGTAGTGATGATGATGCAAAATCAAATAGACCATAGAAGGCCAAGATGGTGAAAGAGATTAGTTTCATCAGAGACATCCTTGGCCAATTGCAGCAAGCCAACGAAGAGAACAAGTGCCTCCACAAGTCGGAGGCCCTAAAAGCCTTGCACACACGGACCAATGCCGATATTGTGACCGTGCTTAAAAGGTGAGAAGCATAAAGTCTCAACTCGAGGATATGGACTACACCAACGCTGCCGATAGGAGGCTCTCTAGATATAGAGAAGGGACGTCGGTGGACCGCACAAGGACTTCGGTCACCATCAGGCTGCAGAAGAAGCTAAAGGAGCTGATGGACTTCCAAGAGTTGAGGCATCAGGTGATGGTGGAGTATAAAGAAACGGTGGGCTGTCGATATTTCACGGTAACAGGGGAGTACCCGGAGGAAGAGGTGATAGAGAAGATTATATCAAGTGGGGCAGGAACGGGAGGGGAGGAGCTACTGTAGAGGGCGGTGTAGGAGCACGGGAGGGAGGGGAAGGTTCTTGAGATGGTGTTGGAGATACAAGACAAGCATGGCACGGTGAAGGAGATTGAGGGCAAATATGGTACTTTATAAATTAATTGAATGATGCTTCAGGGTAATTTTGTAAATGTTGATGTTTTCTTTAAAAATCCAGGGGAGGCTTTTGCTAAAATGAAACTATAGAGAAGGTTTTTATAATTGTCAAAAACTTCAGGGGAGGTTTTTGTATTTTACCCAATTTTTTTCGTGTTGAAAATGTAACACTGTATATAGATTCAAATAGTTTTTTTGCCACTATTACAAACAATGGAGAATATGACACAATACAAGGGGAGGATACTTTATCATAGGTGGGGTTTTGTAAAATATGGCAAAGTGCTGAAACCTCCTTTATAGTTTTTGAATGTTGCTGAAACCTCCCATGAAGTTTGATAATTGCAATTACCTCCCCTGAACCTTATTACATAATTGCAAGTAGACCTCCTATGTTATAATCCTCTAACAATGGGCATGAAAATGTCCAAAATACCCATGAAGTTACTATTAAGGTTGGCTTCTACAAAAAAAAAAACAACACAAATTTTATAAAGAACCAAAAGAAATTTACAAGGGAAAATTTAGAAAATAAATCAATTTCAAAAAAAAAAAGATTGGAAGGGCTTAGGCTAGCGATTCATATGAAAGAGAAAATTTGGAAAATAAACATTTTGGTGAAAAGTAAATGCATAGGTATTTTGGACATTTTCATGACTCTTTTCATAAGATACTAACATAAGGAGTCTACTTGCAACTATGCCAAAAAGTTCAAAGGAGATGATTGCAATTACCAAACTTCAGGGGAGGTTTCAAAAACAACCAGAAACTTCAAGAGAGGTTTCAACAATTTACCCTATAAAATATATTGGCCCAATCAAGTCTAACACATGATGGCCTTGAACAGAAGCCTCATCCTTTCATAGACCGGGGGAGATTCAAACTTCCACCTATAAGGTAGGCCAAGGAACAATAGGTATTCTCTCTTATGCAATCTCTTACTCTTGCACATGTGCTCATCTTGGCACCTTGGCTCTTCAAACGCTTAGGTTAGCTTAATCATCAGAGTTTCTACCCCTAGGATTACATGTAGAGACTTTGACATATCTCATCAAAGGAGCAACCTCTGCACCTTTTAAGACGCACCGGTCTCAAAGTAGATGGTGGGGGATTAGCATATGAAACAAAAGTGTTTAAAAGTCTGGCTTTACTTGCCATTACATGAGCTATTCATGCCAAGTGATATTTCTTGAGATTCCCTTCACTTTGAAAGAGGTAGTGTTTGATAAATCTGAAATATGAGAAGTTAAAAAAATATATTATTGGGGTCTGAAATCTAAAAAGAAATAGAAATGATTTTTTATTTTTTAGAGGTTCCAAAAAGATAAGATCATTTGAGTTGGAGAAATTCTCCTACATCTGAAATTGTGAAGGTTACTATTTTACCCTTAGAAATGGATTGTTTGATAATATAATAAATAATAAAAAGAATATTAAATAAAAATAGTTTCTATTAACAAAAATATTATATGTTTTGAAATAAATAATTATTTATTATTTAATTAAAATAATATTTATATATTATTTGCCTATTGGGCACAAAGGCACTCTAGTAAAGGGATATTATATCATCTAGAAATGGTTTGATACGGTTCACTAAAATCTTTGAGATGATTTTGTAGATCACATTGTATAGACTAATGGGCTTACAATTGTCATTCCTTCAGAATTCTCACACTTAGGGATAAGGGTGATAAATATTTTATTTAGGTTCCAATTCATTTTCCCATAATGGAAGAAGGCCTTTATAGTTTCACACACCAAGTCCCCAATAAAAGTCCAAAATTTCTTAAAAAAATAGCACATTAAGTCCATTTGGACTAGGGGCTTTCAACTCTTTCATAAAGAAGAGGGTATTATAGATTTTCTTGTTTGTAACTTCCTGATATAATTTATTATTACTTTCCTCAGAAACACAATGATCGACATTGGAGATGAAGCTATCCACCTTAGTGGTTCTGTAATTAAAAGTTTCTCTTACAAGGTTCTGCGTGTTGCAGAATTGTTTGGCCTTTGGGATCCTCCCTCCTTCACCAATAAATGTTCTTATACATTTATTCTTCTCCCACTTAGGGAAAGCTAGCTAGCGAAGAAGGCAATGTAAAGGACCTTCATGCCTCATTACCTCTTTTGTTTATCACAGTATATGCTCATCCTTTTATCCTTTATGGAGAATGACGGTTCAGACCAGGGCCAGAATTTGTAGGCCCAAAGTACTGTTGGGGTAGGTGCCAGTTCGGAATAGATGCCAATTCATGGGCCGGCGTTGATGAATAGAGTGTGAGTTGTCCGTACTTTCCGTATCCTTTATTTCGTTTCTTCCTTCAAGATAAAGCAAATGAAGTATCAAAACTTGTAATAATATAAAAACTTAAGAATAAATTTCTAATATTTTAATTGCATGCATGGTTCAAGAACAAACATGTGCATCGGGCCTATTCAGGCTTCCAAAAAAAATGCCCACCGACTATTTCCATAATATAAAAAAGCATTTTTTTATTTTTTTACTTCAATATTTTTATAAGGAATCTATTTAATATTTAAAACTGGCAGATTTGGGAAAAGCTTTAAAAGAAGGCATATCAACCATCTGTAATCAGAATGATGTACATTGTGTTGAAATTTTGAACTTTGATTGCATTTGCATACATTGGAAACTACTAATTTGGCATGATTTTGCTTTTTCAAAAGGATTATTTAGTAGAGCACCCCTATAGTTTTACAAATTCACTTGAACCTACCTTATAATCATGGTTTTCAAAACCAGATTGAATCAGACGGTTAGATTGGAAAAACCAAGAACCAGTCACCATTTTATCCCAGAACCGTCATTTTGGCAAAAAACTGTTGATTTGGTCAGCAAACTGCTGACCCGGGCGTTTGAACCATTCAGTAATTTGTGGCCATTTTTCTTTTTTTAATTTTTTTATCGGAATGGGCCATCCATTCGGTTCGAACAGTTGGATTGTTCAACGCAGGGACTGGACCCCTAAACGGTTCATTGACCGATTCGGTTTTAAAAACCTTACTTGTAATTGTCATCTTGATAAAACACCCCTATAATTTGCAACCTATTTATTTAATCAACCTTTCACTAAGTAGTGTTTGTGTTTGCCACCTGAAAATAGTAATATGATCACCTAAGCTGAATGGGAAATATTAGAGGGCATGGGCCCCATGATTGTTTATTCAAAAATTACTCCTGACACTTCTTTGTACAGAAAACAAAATTGACCAAATAGAATCAAATAAAGTGGTTGCTCACATCTTATTAGAGATAAAGATGATATTTTCATTTTCATTTTTTTGATTAAATTTATTTAAATAGACATTAGGGAGAAATTGTCATTTTCCACTGTCATCTAATTCAAGGTTGATTAATTAAGTCGAATGCAGACTATAAGGAGTGCTTTAGTAAGACTCAAACTGTAGGATTATGATGGGTTTTAGTAAATCTACGAAACTAAGAGTGATTTAGTAAATGACCCTTCTCAAAATAAATGTTTTTAAAAACAAAATCATTCAATGTTCTGGAACACTCCCCCTTTATTTGAGTCATTCCATATCTACTACAATGAAACCAATCAGAAATAAACATGTCAGCTCATAGGTTCATATTTATACGTGAAGTGCTCTAGGGCCAGTAGGCCCAGTACCTCCTGAGCTATTTGAAATCCTGAAATTGGATTTCATGGCATGCAATTATGCAAGACAACGGAAGAGATTGTAATTAAGGTCCATCAATTCCAGTTAATCAAGTTTCTCAAATTTGGGTTATTAGGTGTAGGTCAATTTTGTAAAAAACAAAATGGCACGTCATGTCAAGAATTCAATCAAAGGCATTAATTCGCAAGTATATAGATCTTTCTAAGACTTAGTTTGGTAAGAGCACAAATATAAATATATACAATGCAAATACATATAAAATAATACAAAATATAAGATTTTGCACTCTACATATTTGTATTTATACTACTAAACTGAGCGAAGTGCATGTGGGGCACCCACCCCGGAGCCCAAATATGATCTCCAAAAGCATGGAGAGAGAGAGAGAGGACAGGCTACTCGCCATTTTCATTGTGTAGCCACATTGAAGTGCAGGAAAAAAGTCGGTACAGCTAAGGAAGCATTTGATTGGCGGATCATAAGTATGGTACTCGTGATTTTTTGGATAAATTAGGTATGGTACTTTAAGAAAAAACTGGTCGTTAGCCCTGTTGTATGGGGTCCCATGGAAAAAGAAAGAAAGAAAGAAAGAAAAGGGTGGTTTTAACCCTTTTAAAATCCCATGGAAAAGAAAGAAAAAAAGAAGAAGAACCGTCCTATGGTGTATTTTAACTTTTAAAATGTTGAATGAAGTGGTTTTAAGCCTTCATGAAAAAAGTATTGAGTGTTCAGCTTCCTTCTCTGGTCTTCAAAAAGATGATATATCAAATGAAGTGTGACCTACCCTTTCTTTAAATATATTAGAACCTTGGCTTAGAAAAAATCTTTGATACCCCGAGAGTTTTGACACTCAAACCCCCCACCAACCATACTTGATTGATTACCGCTTACCACTTCTATGATAGCTGTTGATTGGTTCGAACCCCTATTTCAAAACTTTGTGAAAACCAGACGAACCAACCAACTGAGCACCACCTAAATCAGCAGTGCCACGTCTAATCTCTTTCCACTTATCCAATCATACTGACAACAAACCCGATTTTTTCTTGGGCTAGATAAAGTTATATAATACATAGAGTTCTGAATAATGGCCAGCGATATGCAAAATGGAACTCTCTTGTTCAAAGGTGTGCAAATCAGGCACCCAATCTTAAAAGAATTTTTGCATCGTGCCTGGACCCCCTTTAAATTTTTAACAATAAATGCTCAGCCTGACCCAACTCAAGTTACTATTACACCCTTCGGCTGTAATTGATTTGATAGAGAAACAAAAAGTTTTTTGGAAAGAATTTCCCCCAACTTTATGTTTCTCTCTTATTCAAGCCAAACATAGCCTAAGAGTAACATTGTGTTGGATCTTCTCTCAGGTGAACAGCCCAGATCAACTATAAGATTCCTCTGCATCATGTAGGGTAGGGAAGCTCACCACTTGATTAGATCAAGCCATCGTTTTCCTACATAATGAAGTGGGGTTGCATCGGGCTACGTGAGGCCTCAAACCGAGCCCAACCATCCAAAAGCTCAGGTTCATGGAGGCCAGGTTGCACCATCTCCAAATTTGATGAAACATTAAACTAAGGTTTAGAGTTGCTCTTCAGATAATAAAAGCCTTTCGAGAGAATTACTCAAGGCACGTACAAATTAAGGCCTTCTGTAAAATATTCTATGTAAAAGTAGCCTTTCTACATAAATAAAGGTTTGAGGGCATAGTCATCACTTCAAATGTTATTAAAAGGATTGCGAATGTAGTCTAGCAATTCAGTAGGAATCTTAATTATGTTTAAAGCTGCTTTCTGCTCCCCACACAAGTAGTCATAAGCCATTAACACCTATGGCTCCAGCATCTGCAAAAGCCCCACACAAGTAGTCACACATGGAGGTCTGGCACATTCCCGTTTTCTGATGTGGTGCCTATGTGGCAGAAAACGGCATCGATGCCAAACACCCATTACATGTCTTCAACAAATATCATATCATATCATGAAATCAGGATGTCAACTGCTTTGCAAAAACTTGAAAAGGAGAAAGGAAGATTAATAGATATCCAAGAACATTCCCACCCTATACCAGCCAATGACAGTGCCCTCTGTGTAGAACTAAGGAGATAAGTTGGTCACCTGGAACATCCTTTAATCATCAACATGTTTTCCCTCCTCAAACAGCCGGAAAATATGCACCTGCATTTCAAGATTACCAACTAACTCGAATATGCATATGTCTCCTTCTTCAAGCTTGTTCTCGCGTACAAATGCAGGCCACCCTCCACATAAGGCATGTGCTCCTCTGATAAAAAGTAGATTAACCACCCAAGATTCCCCTGTTGAATTATTGAGGATAATCTTTGTTTTGCATGGGGGAAGATGTGATTTAGCAAACCACTTTGGAACATGCTGAACAACAAATGCCCACTCATTAAGAGAAAACTAATAAAAGTGGAAATTTACAATATATGCTAGGAAGAGTTTGAGTATGTAAAGACATCAAATGTCCCTGTTATATACCACCAACTTAATTAACCTGAAAAATCATAACAATGTAAATCTTTTTCCAACTCGCACAGATTTATAACAGAGTTCAAAGAACACCATAAACAACCAAATCTAAAACCATCAATTCCTCAAATATATATGCTAGGAAGAGTTTGAGTATGTAAAGACATACAATGTCCCTGTTATACCACCAACTTAATTAACCTGAAAAGGCATAACAATGTAAATCCTTTTCCAACTCGCACAGATTTATAACAGAGTTCAAAGAACACCAGAAGCAACCAAATCTAAATCCATCTCCTCAAATCTAAACTAAACCGCTTGAATTGGTGCATCTGTGAGTTGATGATGAACTATGTGACTAGGCATTTAATGCTGCCATCAAGGTTTAGCTGCATGTTACTTTCAGACCAGGACCAAAACACCAGTGAGGAGTAGATTACACACTCTAGCTTCTCAAAATCTGAGATAAAAGCAATTCTAAGATGGTATAACTCTTAAAGAATGAAATTGTAATAGTAGGTTTCTGTAAATGAATGAGTCCTGAAGAAACACAAATATGGTGGAAATAAGAAGGGGAAATAAGATATCTGGTTAAATATAAATTTTAAGGAGATGCTACTGGAATAGCAAAGTCACCAAAATCCATAAAATGTTAAAACCAAAGTCCTGTTGAATGGGCTATATATCATCAAGGTAATAGTTGAATATCAAAATGCTATCTTAGCACAAACTGCAAATCTATGTCATAAAGGAAACAAAACAAGACAGAAAAAGCTAGAAGTTTCACATGCAGACCATAAAGCACTATTGCTATGTTATCATGTAGCTGCTCATCTAAAAGCTATCCTAACTCCGAACTTTCGTATTTCTTCAGTATTCCCCAAGGACAACAGAACTGTTTTAGCCTTGGAGTTACAGGGGGGCGGGGACAGCTTTAAGGCTGATTTCTTGTTATTATTCCGAAGATTTGGAAGAAAATAAATGAAAGGAAAAATATGAGGCAGATTCCACTACCCTCAACAGCCACCTGAGTGGATGGTAACAGTGAAAAGGATTTATGCAACTGATACATATAGTTGGGACAAGGCATTGATGAGTTTTGACAACCTCAGGCTATGATAGAAAATCAAAGCCAACTTATCTTATTCAGTACATTCAAACAAATCTTCCAATGGTATTGAAGGGGAGATATCATGAGGATTGAGGTGTGGCTGCTGCATTGCATCCTTGGAAATTGTTAATAGAGTTAAGGGTTAGACTATTGGCCAACTTCCTGGTTTCATTAAGCAAAAATTGAGAGTTGCTCTTTGGGGAATCTGGGCTTCTCCAGAGAAAAAGATAGTGAGTGAACTAAAAGGACATTATCTAACTCTCCCCTGGACTTATTGGTCATGGTAATTCAAAAAAGATCCCACAATATCATGGCTCAAAGGAATTCTAGCAATACTTATCAGCTAAGCAACTAATGGCAATAGGGGCTGTGGAGTATTGCCAACAAGATACACGCTATATAGATGCTAAGAGTAAAGATGTTTAATTTTTTTTTTTTTCTTTTTCTCCTAGGGACTGAAACAAGTATATCTGTTAGTCAAAGAACTGGTTGAGGAGTGAATAGGGTGGCATGGCATCTGGCTATAGACTTTTCTTCTGTTGCCTTTGCTAAGGATGTGTTTGATTGTGGAAATGAACTGAATTTGAATTATTCCACCTCAATGCTGTAGAAATTAAATAATTGTCACCCCTTCCATTTTGAGTTCTAACCTTTTCACCAAGTTCAACTACACTAAGGATCGATCCAAACATGGGAATTCTATACAAGGAATTGAAAATTCCTATTCTGCCTCCAAATCCAAATCTACCTAACCCAAGTGCAACTCAAGTATTTTGTTTGCCCTTTTCTGTTTCCTTCTAATTTTGGGGCTGTTTGAGCCCCTTTATTTTCTCATGAGTAAATTTTGTTTTTCTCATTTCAATGATGAAAGAATTCAATATAATCAAACACATCTCTGACACACAATCCATCCATCTGACTAATTGAAATAAGTGAAAGGAATTAGCAAGAAAACTAACCAAAACAAACCCGACGTACACATTTGATGCATTTAAACGTCTCTTAAAATAAGGAAACTTGGAGATAAAAGATTCTGCTGCTTCCTGGACCCTTATCTTTTCTTCTTCAGTTGCAAGCCTCTTCCTCGACTCAAGGTGTTTACCTGTCCCATTTGAGCCACTGTCAGGGACTTAATTTTTAAGTTTGCAGGAATTCAGTTAAGAATTATGCACATTAAATGATAACTACCTAGCCATGTAGGTATATAAATTTGCATGCAAGACGGGGTGGATATCCTACTACTATGGGTCCTAAAGTAGAGATTTCACAATAAAGGTGGGAAACTTGCTTGTGCACTCCATGGAAGCTAAAATTAAAATTTAGAGTTTGATGAAAAATATATAAGATTTGGGTGTTGTAATTGGGGTTTAATAACAACAGGAAAGCCTCAAGTTCTGGGGCTGTGTAATTGTACTAAAAATTTGGGGCCTCCACAACTCATCACATGTTGCATGTAAGATGATCAGGACTCCACTTGGATGTTCCCACCTAAGAGAGTAACTACATCAAAAATCATCATAACCAGATGAATTTATGAGTTGTAGAATTTTTTAACATCAATGTATATATAGAAAAATCACGTAATTGCATATCATGCTTCAATTCAAGCTGGTTTTTGGCCTGGTTACTCAATGGAGGAGTTCCTGGTTCTCTAAATCTGGAAGGTGAAACAAGTCGTGAGAACCCAGAGATGTGTGCAAATGCATATGGAGAGGTCTGGTCAGAGCAATGCTTCTCAAATACCTGGATCGTCTCTGCAAACCTTTGATAGAGATGGAGAGGCACAGGCACAAGCACAAGCACAAGCAACATGATTTCTTGATGGGCTAGTTCCTTTCTCTCTTCTATTTGAGAATGTAGAGACTTGGTCTGTCTTAAGAGTAAATGTACTGGCATCTCTCTCACATCCATTCTTGCCAAAAATTTTCACATTGAATATCAGATTTCCATCATATCGAAATAGTAAAAATTCATTATCCAGTATAGAGTGATCTACTAAAAAATCCTGCCATCCTTCCCCTAGATATATGCCACTTGAAGTCTGTTTTAATTTGACGAACCAACGATAACCCTTACGATCCTCTAGGATTGCTCTTCCAGCTGCTCTTTTTGAAATGTGCCTCGTAAAATTTGGAGGAATCCGCTGCAAAACAACATAAAAAGAAAAAAAAAAAAGCTCGCCATTCAGTTTTAGTAAAACATTCTTACAGATTAAAAACCAGAAAGGCCAAGAAAAGGGGAAATGAATTAACAGAGATAAAAGATTGAGAGTACCAACTGTTGGGTGGGGAGTCCCGGCAGCATAATCTTGAAGAAGTAATGCTTCCTGTCTTGACATGAGCCATTTTCACTCCTCTTCACCATCTCTGTCCTGAAGAAGTGGAGGTGCAGACCGAACAGTAATAGAAATTGGAAGAAGGAAGGTAAAGCAGGAAGCAGGATACAGGAACTGATAATTTGTAGAGGCAGAGTGTTACTGGCATAATCTCTGCGGAGTAAACGAGGGAAGGAAGCTCATTGGAATGAGTGAGAGTCCTTTTTCTGTCTTCCAAACAAGAATAAATTTCCTAAAATTTCGTGTACTTGAGACTTGACCGCTCGTTATCTGTATCAAAGATTTTGGCCATCTAATTTGGCGGGAAACCTTGAGATGCCCCATCTATCAAAGCCCATTGCCCAAACGAAATAGTCCCTCTCCCGTCACTGTGTGCCCTGAACGACCTGAAGGCGCAAGATCTGCCGGGTATTGATAAAAAGCCACAAGAGAAACTGTGGATAAGAGAGGGAAAGAAGATTCCTCTCTGCAACATCGCCACATTTCAAGAACCAAGAAAGAGAAAGAGAGAGAGAGAGAGAGAAAGGTTAAATCAGAACCTCGTGGAGATACCAGCAGAGTGCCAAGTTATTCAAACCATACCATTGCGTCAAGGCTTTGAACTTGCAGGCCTCAATCTTTGCGTCTGGGACAAACATCCTACCGAGGCTTCTGCAATCCTGTTCTGCACCACACTTTCAAGTTGAACTGTAATGGGTGGTTTGACGTTTGAATGACATGAATTTATTTAATTGTTATCACCGCACGGTCTTCATCCTCTTTCTTCCCTTCCCGAGCTATCAAGGATTCAAGGGGAGACATGGATGAACTTAACGTAAGCAGAACTTGACAATTCCGAACATTAAGAGGATGGAGAACCACGTTGCAGATCGAAGAAACCAATCTTATATCCCAACTTATTTGCAGAATTGCAGTGTGTGAACTGTGAACCCATCACTTGTTCACTTCTACTATTCCTTTTACTGATAAACAGTCTCAGGTTAGGATTGTCATTTTCTTGGGGGGCATTCTAAGATGGGAGCCTGGGAGGTTTTCTTTTCGCAGGTAGGTCTTTGTCTTTGACTCGGTAGGGACAGCCGGACAGGGTTGTGCCATGTGTGGATTGGACTTAACCCTGAGAATTCGTGTTTATGTCCAACGATCTCATAATTATCCAATATGTGTTTGTGTTTATGTCTGTCTGATGGGAGTACGCTGACAGAAGCCGAATTCGACTGAGTACTGGAGGACAGGACAGAATCTCTGGATGCATAATTGCATAGCATAGGGCTGGGGTGGGGAAGGTAGAGGTAGGTAATAGGTATTCGAGATTTCTCGGGTATTGACAAAAACCCAAAAAAGAATCCCAATCCTCCTTTTAAGTCGTGGTACGACCGTTTATTATGACCAAGACCAATGACCACGGCCCACAGGCCACAGGACAAAATCCGTAGAACTTCTATTATTTGTATTGTTGTATTCCCACGACTCGGATCCACGACCACGATCGGGTCTCCGAGTCCGGATCCACTGCCTACAAAAAAAGATCTCTTCCAAGGTCCAATATCTGAGACCAAGGTCAGATATTCCCCCCTCACCCATTCCACTTTAGGTTTTGGTCCCCCCTCACAAAAAATTTCTGACTCCGCCTCTGATGCCAACCCCATGTTTGATTAAAACATTGGCATGTTCAAAAATCACTGGCGTCGTTGAGTGGTTCTGTGACCCTTGTCACAAGTAATATTTGCTCCGTTTGCCTACTAAGTTTCAGATTCTCAGGCTGTGTTTGGTTTGAAAAAAAGTAGGAAAACCTATACAATGTTTGTAAAGCTTTTCATACCTTTTATCTTCCTTAAACTACATCTTGACATTTTCCTTCAAACCAGACAGCCTAAAAGAAACTTAAATTCCCCCAAAATGCATTTGACATTTCTCTAAATTCCACCTTGTTACGATCGGCGTAGGAGCAAGCCCAGACGAGGAGACCCAGGCCCATGACGCTCAAAGCCCAACCCAGTGCACTCCACAAATCATGCGCGCAACACCTCCTTTGAGGTTCGTTTACACACATCGTCCACGTCAAGAAGAGTGATCAGAAGTTTGTTAGTTTGTTAGAGGTCATGATCTCTCTACTATAAATATCTGTAATAAGCAATCGAAGTGGATATGAGAAAGATAAACCTATTAGTATCCTCTCGCTTCTCTCCCTTTTCTCTCGTCCATTTCAGGAGGGTGAGCTCCCTCAAACCAGCTCCATCTATCCATAGCAAGTTCAGGAGAAACAAGCTCATCAACTGGTATTAGAGCTTAACTTCGATGCCGACCACCAGATCTACAGCGGTAGAAGAAATGATCAATCAAGGAGTTGAGAGACATCAAGGAGACTCTCTCATCATTGGTTGGGAAGTTTGAACGATTGTCGGCGACACCTAGAGCTTCGGAGATCGAGGGATCCAGAAGCAGCAGCAGCGGGAGCAGGTGAAGTGGAGTCTTTCCCATCAAGGCCGCCAAGATAGACTTTCCACTCTACTCAGGTGAAGACCTTGTTCCTTGGATATACTGAGCCGAACGTTACTTTGAATTTCATGAGACCCCAGCAAACCAAAGAGTCTCCGTTGCCGCCATTCACATGGACGGCGAAGCCATTATATGGTATCAATGGTATTGTAAGACCCACCCACAAACCACCTTGTTAGACCTAACTGAGGCTCTACGCGTGGGGTTCGGACCCTCTAGCTACGAGAACTTCAATGAGTCTCTCTCAAGAGTGAGAGAATACCAAAATGAGTTCCAACGGTTGGCCACTAGAGTTCATGGCTGGCTGGAGGCCACTCTGGACCGACTTAAGAAACTTGGGAGGTCCACTGGGTTTCAGGCGGGCCCAATGCAAAAAAAATCCATATCCTAAGACTGAACCGAACCCAGAACCATTGCTCCCAACCCCCACCATTCCGATAACCACTACCGCTAAGTCCATACCACCCACCAAGAAACCCGGTTCATTGACCCTACCTTACCGGAAACTATCATGGACTAAGATGCAGGCCAGAAGGGAGAAGGGTTTGTCCTATAATTGTAACGAGAAATTCGTCCCGGGTCACAAGTGCAAGGACAACATGTATACCTTCTTCAAGTTGACGAGGAGGGTGAACCTGATCCACTTTCAGAAGACCCTGGGGTTCAACAGATGGAGGTGATTTCGGAAGTGGAATACTGTGTTTATCTCCCTGTAGGCTCTGTTCGGAAACCAGGCCCCAAGAACCACGGGGTCCACGGTCAGATCTTGGGGAGGAGAGTGGCTGTCTTGATCGATAGTGGGAGTTCTCTGAACTTCATAACTCCCGAACTAGCCCGGCAGCTAGGACTAATGATTAAGGCAGTCCCAACCTTGGCAGTCAATGTAGCCAACGGCCAGCGTATCACCTGCGAAGGGAAGTGTAAGTCGGTTGAGCTCAAGGTTCAGGGGTATACTTTTAGGGTGGACTTGCATCCCTTGGAGTTCAGAAGAGTAGACGTGGTTTTGGGAATACAGTGGTTACAGCTTCTAGGCCCTGTGATATATAATTGGGCCGAATTGACAATGCAATTTACATAGGAAGGTCGTTCCTATACCCTAAGAGGGGTTAAAAACCAGCCCATAACTGCAGAAAACTTGGAAGTTATACTTAAAACACTGTCAGTACAGTGCTACCCCCTTGCAGATGATTATGGGCTTAATGCCTCTTGGACCCACAGTAGTTCCTTCCTCTAAAGCTATAGACCTTAGTCCGGATCAAGCCCAATAGCTCCAACTGTTGCTCCAAGCTTACTCTGATATTTTTCAGGAGCCCACTACCCTACCCGCCCCTAGAGCCCATGATCACAAAATACCCATTCAACCTAGAGCCCCGCCCGCCAATGTTAAACCCTACTGTTACCCCCATTACCAAAGGGTAGAAGTGGAACAGATGGTGAAGGAGTTGTTGGACAAGGGTTTTATCCGGCCCAGCAGCAGCCCGTTTTCGTCACCTGTTATCTTGGTAAAGAAGAACAATGGTAACTAGAGACTGCGTGGATTACAGAGCTTTGAACAACATCACAGTGAAGGACCGGTATCTAATACCCTTCATTGAAGAGCTATTTGACGAGTTGGGTAAGGCTAAATATTTTTCTAAACAGGATCTGCGGTCAGTCTACCATCAGATCCAAGTGCATCCCGAGGACATACACAAGGCTGCATTCTGGACCTCGGATGGGAATTTCGAGTTCCTAATGATGCCTTTTGGTTTAACCAATGCACCTTCTACATTTCAAAGACTCATGAATGAGATCTTTAAGCCCTATTTACGGCTATTTATGCTTGTATTCTTTGATGATATACTTGTTTATAGCCCAAATTGGGCCGCTCACCTGGATCATTTACAATGCACATTGGGCTTACTCCGCCACCATCAGCTGTTCGCTAAGCCCTCCAAGTGTTCCTTTGAACAGACCCGGATTAGCTACCTAGGGCACATTATTTCCAACGGGCAGGTGCATACCGATCCAGAGAAAACAGCTTGCAGGGTCGCATGGGCCAAGCCAACCTCCCTACGGGCTCTCAGGGGATTCCTTGGGCTCACTGGTTACTACCGCCAATTCATTCAAAATTATGGAGTTCTTGCAGCACCCCTTACTAGATTGTTGAAAAAACACTCTTTCGAGTGGGATCAAAAAGTCGAAGAAGCCTTCCAATTACTTGAGAAGGCAGTAACAACACCCCCCACATTGGCCCTTCCCGATTTCAATATGGAATTCAGGCCGACGGCTCAGGCAAGGGAATAGGCGCGGTCCTGATGCAGCAAGGTAGACGACCGGCCTTCTACAGTAAAGCCCTCTTCCCTCAAGCCCAAGCCAAGTCGACCACTGACCACCGCAGCATCAAACATCTGCTAGAATAGAGAGTTCTGGGCCCTAACCAACAAAAGTGAGCCTACAAATTGTTGGGGTTCGACTTTGCCATTGAGTACAAGCCTGGACCTTCTAATGCCGTGGCCGATGCACTTTCCCGGGTGGATGACCTTCACATAATAGGAGTGTCACAGCCAGCCTATCCCTTGATGGACCAGTTTAAGCAATGAAGCCCATGACGACCCTCACCTGGCTCAGATACGGACCCAGATCCTTGAAGGATCAGCTCTTACTTCCGGGTACACTGTGAAAGGTGATGTTCTCTTCTACAAAGGTAGAATGGTAATTTCTGATAGACCCAAGCACCACCAAGAATTGTTCCACTTTTTCATGACTCAGCCCAAGGGGGGGTCATTCCGAGGCTCTCCGTACCTATAAGCATATGGCCACTCATTATCATGGGAGGGGCATGAAATGCATGGTACAGGAGTATGTCGCAAGGTGTGCGACGTGCCAATAGCAGACGTATAACACACAGGCGCCTGCTGGGTTATTACAGCCTCTACCCATACCAGAGAAGGTCTGGGAGGAAGTTACCATGGACTTCATAACCGGGCTCCCCACATCTCAAGGGAAGTCGGTTGTGCTGGTGGTTGTAGATCGGTTAAGTGCGCACACTTTATTGCACTCTCCAAACCTTATTCAACATCCACCGTAGCCCAGGCCTACATACAGGAAGTGGCCAAACTCCACAGGACCCCACTCCATTTTGACCAACCGAGATGCCCTCTTCATGAGCTCCTTTCGACAGGCCTACTTCACAACCCAAGGGGTACACCTACTTCACTCAACTAGTTATCACCTAGAGACAGATGGGCAGTCGGAAGTAGTCAACCATTGCTTGGACACTTACAGTGTTTTGTGGGAGATAAACCCAGGCAGTAGGCTCAATGGTTACCTTGGGATGAGTTTTGGTATAATTACCACATTCCAGATTTCGACAGGAACCACTCCTTTTAAGGTGCTTTATGGGTGTGACCCTCCATCTATTTTACCATACGAAAGGGGGACATCAATTGCTGAGGTTGAAGCCCAACTTTCAGCAAGGGACAACATACTCAAGATCCTCAAGTTCCATCTACAACAAGCTCAGCTACGTAAGAAGATAGCTTATGATAAGAAGCACCGAGAGTTGGAACTTTCAGTTGGGGATTGGCTCTATTTGAAACTCCAACCATACAGACAGGCGTCTCTAGCCCAAAGATCATCCCAGAAATTACCTCCCCGTTACTTTGGCCCATTTCAGGTGGTTGAATGAATTGGGGACGGTATTGGGGTCGTTGCCTACGGTCTCAACCTCCCTACAAAGTGCCAATTGCATCTCATCTTTCATGTTAGCCTTCCGAAGCCTTGTCTATCTTCCTCGGATGTCGCCAGCCCCACACTTCCTTCGTTCACGGAGGCTGGAGAAGTGGTGTTTGAACCACAACGTATTAAGGATGTTTGTTGGGTGAAAAGTGGCGGCAAGGTCCACAAACAGGTCTTAGCTGTGTGGTATACAGGAGGATGCCACTTGGGAAGATTACAACCAACTTCAGAAACAGTTTTCCACCATCAACCTTGAGGACAAGGTCATTCTTGACGGGGAAGGGAATGTTAAGATCAACGCAGAAGCAAGCCCAGACGAGGAGACCCAGGCCCATGACGCTCAAAGCCCAACCCAATGCACTCCACGAATCATGCGTGCAACACCTCCTCTGAGGTTCGTTCGTTTACACGCGCCGTCCACGTCAAGAAGAGTGATCAGAAGTTTGTTAGTTTGTTAGAGGTCGTGATCTCTCTACTATAAATATCTGTAATAAGCATTCGTAGTGGCTATGAGAAAGATAAACCTATTAGTAGTATCCTCTCGCTTCTCTTCTTCCTCTCTGTTTCTCTCCCTTTTCTCTCGTCCATTTCAGGAAGGTGAGCTCCCTCGAACCAGCTCCATCTATCCATAGCAAGTTCAGGAGAAACAAGCTCATCACACCCTTATGTAATAGAATTCTTTACAATTGTCAGAAAGGCCTCAAACAAGATGTCTGATTGTTATAGCGACTTGCTCGTACTCCCGAGTCCCAGACTGCTCCATGCATTTTGTTCCCCAGGAAGCCAGAACCAGGTTATTTGCCATCACAGAACCAAATAACTATCAGAATGTATAGGCTAGGAAACAGGGCTGTTGTTAAAGAGAGAACAGAGAAGTGTTAACACGGACAATCCAAAAAATAAAAATAAAAAACTTCAATCAGATGCAAGGTCTACATTAGTCCTAGATGAGAAATTATTTGTTGCACAAAGCTATAAGATTTTACAACTTTGGAAATGAGGGAATGGGGAATTTTTCGTGTCTGCAACCTCATCCCGCACAACCAAACCTCTGTTGCTTTGTGAGTAACAAGTATCCATGCAAGTAGAACAGAAAATAAGGCTTTTTAGTATCTATGGTTGAATAATGTACATTTAGATGTGTAAATAACAGGAAGACTATTTAACAGAATACAAGCAGAGAAGAATTTCCATTTCAATTTGCATTATCTGGAAGTCATAAAACAGAGCGATGGATGATAACTTCTTTAACTTAGGTATAAACAGAAACTGCAACCAGGGCTATAGGTATAATAGGACAAGTGAGCCTCACAGAATAAACGACAGAAATCTTTACTCAACACTAGCATGGAGGCTTGCCCTTCAATTTACATTTGGAGCTGACTTTGATATCCTTTCGTCTTCCAAAAGTGAATATGGATCAATATATTGTGGCGGTGTTATTGGTGTTTGGCTTGCATCATGTACGAAACTTGAACCAAAATACTGCAAACAAATCCATAATCAGTTGTTGTAAGTTGTTAAACAAGTATGCTGGGCACCTCTCCTTACATGCACAAAATACAGATCCATCTTACCTGCAACTTAAACCAATCAAAATTTTCTAAAGGTTTTCATTTGTGTGTGTATGTGTATGTGTATGTGCATGTTGTGTAAGTTTGGGGGAGGAGGGAGGAGGGGGGAGGGGAGGGGAGTTGAAGTGATGGGATTGAACTAATGGGTTCTAGTTGGGCTGCTGAGATAGCATCAAACAAACCATGAGATATAACTGGAACATGTCAGTTCACAAATAGAGACCTACTCCATAAAAGGGGCCATTGCTTGGTATAATGGTAAAATCTCAGGCTGACAGCACGAGAATGCTAGTCCATACAAGAAGTAACAAATTCTAACAATTATTTTCCTTTTTCTGAATACTCGCCAACTTAATGAACTCCCTTCAGATCAGTTAGATTCTGAAGGTAGATTAAATGGTGCATTACATGTCAGATAGAATAAAAAATAATTCTAAGTAAAATTTGATATATAAATCTTGCAACAAATAGCAGGGTTCAGGAAGAGGGCTACCAAGTAGAGAGCAGAAAAGGATGCAATTGTAATGAGGATTAGTGGCCCAAATCCCAAAAAGAATGTTCCTCCAATTGTTAGCAGTAGTTTAGCTCGTGGAATCAAACCCTGTATAAAAATATGCAAGTAACGTGTAAGCAAATGTAATATAAGAATAAGATAATAAATCTTGCAACATTACTGAATTATTTGAACAGAGTAAAAAGTCAGCAATGATTCTCAGTAAATTATTCTTTAGATCAAATAATCAAAGATAATGTATTAATATGAAGGAGAAATTATAAAAGATGGTGTATGAGAGAGAGAGGTTACATTGAAATCTATTTCTGTTCAAGAACTGAGCATATATAAGCTCCTGAGATAATTTACACCCACTATACATTAATTCCTGATGGAGCCCCAAGCTCCTCCAGCTAGTGAGACCAATAGCAATTGCATTCAGCCCTCCTTGTCCCTCTTTTCATTGCCTTCCTACTTTTCTCTTGTCATACAGCATCAACTTATTGGTCTTCCTCTTGTTCCTTCCCTCTTCTTCTATTACCTTTGTTCTAATGGTTCCTTTTTCAATATCCTATGAGATCCCATTAGCCAACTGTCCTAATGTTTTGGCCACATATTATATAATTTTCCACCTCTTATGCTATCTAGGAGACTAGGACTCTTTACAAGAAACATTTTCACAGGATTTTCTGAAAAACACATGATCATGGTTTTGAAACCAGACCAGACCAGACAGTCAGACCATTTGACTCAGGAACTGGTCATGGCTTCAGGTTCGGTTTTGGACCCAAAAACCATTTGACCGGAGTTCAGACCAGATGATCAGACCATTTGACCTAGGAACCAGTAGTCAAAGCGGTTCCATTCCCAGGTTGGTTTTTAAAAGCATGCACAAGATAATGGTTTCATAGTGTAGTGGAGAGGGTGACTGGATTAGATATTCATTGTTTAAGGATCAATGGAACATTACAAGCATAAGAAACATATTATATTGATTTTGCACATGGGCTTTTATTTCCCATTTTACATTAATATGATCATATTTTTAATTAAAAGTAATGGTTCTTTTTGCTATGAAGTGAACTATATCTATCTCAGGATTGAAAGGAGCACTTGGTACGAAAACATGAGAAGAAACTAATGATTATTCCACATCTTTCCATTGTCAGACCCTCCTTTGAATCTTTCCTTACAACTCCATCTTCATCTCTACTGTTCAATGGTCACAAAAAGAAAATCAGGTGGGCAAGATCAAAAGGCATCCCTCCTCTCCAATAATGCTATTATTAGGTGTAAAGGATTGTTTTTCAAGATATGGAAGGTTTATATAGCATAGGGATTCTAATCTTTAATGCTGTAAGTAAATATATATTTGTTGTAACTTCAATATTCTAGCAAATTTCTAAAGTAGTTTTTTTTTTCTACTTTTTAATCAGTACTTGTCAAGTAGAATGTAACTTCTACAAGGATCAATTTTTGATTTCTTATTGTTGCCAAGTAATGTCTAACTAAGTATATGTGCTTTGAATATCACAAACATGTAACAGTAGACATATGCATTTAGAATCAACTGAGGAGCATAAATTACAAATTTAACAAAATTAATTGATTATTTGTAGTAAATTTCAGCTCAAGGAATACTAAATACATTAGTCAAATTATGTTCAAGAACCTAGAATGAGAAGACAGTGACATTGCATATTAACATACCAAAATCCAAGACCATCTTTCGGTGAAAAGCGAGTGCTAAAATCCCATCCTTCAAACAAATAGTAAATGTTTGAAATAACTGAATTATAACTTAATTATCAAGTTACAATTATACACACACATATATACTATTAATCTTCATCCTTTGCGGGGGAGGGGGAAACCTCAAGGCCTTCACTGTTCAATGCCATGGATCGCTCCCTCTGATTTGTTAAGCTTTTCTCATAATCTGTTGAAACTGCATTTCTCTTTGGGAAACCTCTGTTATCTTCCTCCAATCTTGTCTCATCATCAGGTCCATAAACAGTTCTCTTACTATCTTCAAGCAGTGAAGTGGGAGTCATACCTCTTCTCCTTAATTCTTTCATAAACAAAGATTCTGGAGGTTCTTCACCTGCAAAAGAACTCTTAATTAGTGGCATAAATGAATGTATCCAATTGTTTTATAACCATAAAAATCCATTGATAATTTTATGTAAGAAACATAAAAATTGGGTAACAAGCACAGCGATAGAAGTCTGCAAAAATGATAGCCAGTTCATTCTATGCGCATTACTAAGGGAAAAGAGACATCACAGTGCTCACTGATAATGGAATGTGTAAAAGAAGATGTCACAAACTCCAAGGAATTCATGAGACTAAAATATTAGAAAGGAATTAAAAGCATAGCTCAGCAGTCTTTCTCAACCAACATGACTGGACTCCAAAAAAATTAGTGAGACATCACAGTGCTCACTTCTCTTAAAATGTGTTAGGGTTGAATGGGTGTTTTTTGCCCTTTGGTAGAGCAGTGGGAGGATGCTTGATTGGTTGCATGTTTATAACTGAAAGGTCTGCATTTTGAGTGGGAGGTTATCAACCAAGTTTGTACCTTGTCTTTTTTTACTTTTTTGATTGAGCTTATTTTCTAATTTACTGTCAAAGAAGTATTTGAATATGTTCAAACAATGGAAGAGAAATTAAACATAAAAACTGCAAGATTCACATAATATACTACAAATTTTGGCTTTTAATAGGTGGTTAGGTGTCTCACCTTCACATCACTCTCAAATTCTACAAGTTACTTCCAAAAATAACTTAATGAAACCCTGGTTTTTATGTTAATATGCCAAGGACCTCACAAAAATTTCTAGTGATTACCTAAGACCAGGTTTGTTGCACAGAATCAGAGCAAAAAGGAATTGAATTGAGCCCTAAATTCCAGATCTAATATTTTGCACACAATTAAAAGGAAAGAATTGGAACTCAATGTCAATTATTTTGAACTAAAATACATCGATCAAACTTAGAGGGGAGCTATTATTTGGAGTTTTGAACTTTCTTCCCCTAACCCATCAAAACAACCTAGCCAAAAGCATTAGAATTTATAGACTTGGAATTCCAAGACCTAGCTCCAATTCCAATAAAAAGCAGATTAAGTATATCAGTGATAGAATTGAGTGGTTCTTAGGAGGCCTTAGGAAGTGTATTCATGGACAAAACAGCACTTGAATTGATCATCGTTTTACAGTTATTGCCTTTGATGTGTTCTGCACAGCTACCACAAAACTCACTTATATAGTCTTACTAAACTGCAGGTCCTTCTGAATCCTGATAACTTGTACATTCAATTTGTCCTACTTAGAGCTTGTTTAAACTTCCAGCATAATGTTCTCCATGAACCATTTGCTAAAAGCTATACAGTCACTGCAGTTTTGCACCAATTCTTTGTGAATTTGTCAAGGTAAACTATGTTTCTTCTATGCTAGATTCACATTATTTTTCTTACCAGATATATGTAAATATCAATATCAATATTACAGTTATCCACTAAATTAGTTCCATCAGCAAGAGGACCAAAGCTAGTGCACCTCGGAGCTGTGAATTGGTAGTAAACAGCTTCTGGGGTATCCAAATGCATGAGATTGTACCTTACTAAAGAAAAATTATATATAATAAGGCAAAATGGTATTACGAGTTCTAAAGCAGCATACGCTACAACCAAACACCAGAATTAGATCTTGTAACTCGAATGGATCACCTAAAATCAGTTCAGACAGACTTTGCAATCGAATTTTATGTAATCTCAACTTCCAAGCATGTGGGCGGAGAAAGCGTGTTCCTCTCCAATTAAGAGCAAAGGGTAACAGGTTAATTGGAGACGGAGATAGAATCAGGAGAGGAGATGCACAAAGGTTTATGAAATTTTGCAAATTAGAAGTTAAACCGTGGCAGGACAATCACAAACTCACAATAAATTTTATGATAAATTAATAATGATGACAAGGTAAGGTTAACAACCACAACAAGTTTACATATAATTCCATTAAACACGATATCGTTCTCTCCATCTCATCTTAAAATGACCAGAAAAATCAAAGCCGCAGAAGCAGGACAAGCATTAAGGTACGACGAAATGTTCTCAAGAGAGCTTACCGTTGCTTTCATTCTCGCCGTCTTGAAGTCGACAGCACACCCTAAACCCTCTACCGAAGGAAACTTTTGAGCTCCGACGACTCTGCAAGTTAAAAAACTTCTTCTCGGGCGCTGTGAAGTCGGAATCCAAACAGAAGCAGTTGGATTTCCGATCGAAATCTGATCGGAAAGAGAGAAAAGGTGGCAAACCAGAGCGAACAATATGCAAAGACGCCATTGCTTTTATGTCCGTATCAACTGGAGTGGAATTCCATTACGAAAGAGAACAGACCAGAGACCACCACAATCGTATAGAAGAAGCAAAAGATGATGAGAGCAAAAATTTTGTTGTCACTCGGAGAGCGTATTTTATCAATTTCCGGATTTATATCTTTAAAATGCACATGTCCTCGTGCGCTGCTTTTGTGGCCACAAGTTGCGGTTAGGGAAGAGAGCAGTCAGTTACAGAGAACCGCAAGCCCAACGCGAAGCGACGCGAGGGCTAGATCCGATTATCCGAACGAATGCGGGTTCTGATGAATCCGCATCTCCTGCCCATACAAACTCTGTACACGTCTAACCACATAATATCGCAGCCACACATGGATTTCCCAATTTATGGGGGTAGTGTGTTGTGGGTAAACGTAAGGAGAGTTTGTGTGGGCAGGTGATTTTATACTTAATTAGCGGGGAACCTGCGATGCAGGATTTGGTAAAAAAGGTGAAATAATGCATTTATAAATGTTTCTAATTAAATATTGTAATTAATAATATTAACTAATTAATAATAATAATAGTAATATTTATTATTATTATTTTTTTTTGTGGATATAAAATTGTAACAACAAATTGAAAATAGCAAAATAAAATTTAATTACATATCAACCACATAAATATTTCAAAATAGATGGGAACAACAAAAACAAAAATAATATACACCATTTTCAAATAAATAAACCAAGCATTTTAAACACAAAATGTTGATAAATAAATGCTATAATTAATAATGTTAATTAAATAATACTGTTAATTGTTAAAAAAATACTGTAATTATGAAAAATTACTATTAATTAATAATATTGTTTTTCAATAAATACTGTCATTATGAAATTAGTGTATTTATTTAAACTACATTAATTTCTGAAAATTAGCATATTTTCAGAAATATATTGGTAATCTCTTGTCTAAAACTAATTAAATGTAATTTTTTGGTAATTACAGTTTAAAAATAATTTAGTTACAGCTTAAAAATAAATACTGTGAATTATATTACTGTTAATTAATAATTA